AAGAACCAAGATGCATTATGTAAAGGTACAATTCCCAATGAGAAATGTAATTGTGTTGTATACCTACAATGTACCAATAAAATAATTTAATACAAAAAAAAAAGAGAGAGATTAGCGGAACTTACATCCCTTCCAGGAGACGGACGTTAAACAATGAACTTTGCCTTCGGTCCTCTTTGTGATAAATGCTATATGGGTGAATATATCAGAGGTTCTGACTTAATCTGGTACAGTGATAGAAAGGCTCCCTCAAAGAAGGGATTTCTAAAATGAGCTCTGAAAGGTGAGAAGAAAAAAATAGCCAAAACATTTCTGGAAGAATAGTGTGTCCTGAAGAATCACCTGAATCATGAGATGGCTGGAAGCAAGCCTCTGTGCTTTACTCAGAGAGTGAATAGGGCAGTGAGATGACATCTTAGGGTCATATCTTCCAGGGCCTCTGACACTGTTTAAGCATTTTGGTCTTAAGTACAGTGGGTTTTCAAGAAAAGAGTGATGTGATATATAAAATTTGGAAATATCATTGAATGCAAGGAGAACTTTTTTCAGTAGATGTCTGTGTGAACCAGAATGGTGGCATTGAAGATGGAGAAGTGGACAGACTTGAAAGAAACTCGGAAGGGAGAGAGAGTTCATAGACTCTGTGACATAGAACAGGCAGATGAGAAGAAGGCAGATCTGAGTCTTAGAGGACTTGAGGCTTATGGAACTGAGGAGTTCCTTCAGAAACAGATGCTGTACACAGGAAGGCCCCAAGATGAATGTTAAAGTCTCAGCGATTCCGTACAGACACAGTAGGTCTGGAAAAAGAGGAGGTTCTTCCTTCCCTGCACCTCTTTATTAAGGAAGAGCACTCACCCTCACAATCTTCCCAGCGTCCCTCTCAAGTGGAGGAAGTTGAATAGAAAAATAGATAATCCCTTCCAACTATGAGACTCAATGATTGTAGTATGAATAAAACATTTTAAGAAGTGTATTATCATCTACAAGTCAAGAAGCCAATCCGTGCCTGTGCTCCAGTGACAGGATATAATTGTTATCCAACAAGATCTTTATGAAATGATTATTCTAGGACAACAGGGAAAATCTGAGACAGTTGTCAACCAACTGGTCACTCTGTCTACTGTGTTTGTTTGTTTGTTTTTGGTACTAGGGATCAAACGCAGGACATTGTGCTTGCGAGGCAGGTGGTGGCACCATTGAGCTAAATCCCAGCCCACTCTATCTCCTGTGGACAAAAGTGAATGAGTTCCTTCATATGAACCATCCATCTCGGGAAGATGAGTCCCACCTCTCCTTTTGTGTCACCTCTGGCAGGCTCTGAAGCACCTGAATTGTCTCTCTTAGGGAGATGAATTTTCAGCTCTTCTCTTCTCTCACTTTTGGTGGGCTATGATTCTCCTTCTGAGCACAATTGGCACCTTTTAATTTTTTCTGTCCGTTGGCTGGTGTGGCAACATTTTTTTTACTGAGGCAGGAGAAGGCATGAGCTGTAAGATCCCAGAAATAGTCAAGAACATGACAATTGTAAACCTTACTCACCCTTCAGAACCCAGAATCCACTAGGGAATTTATTAACTGGAGATAGTTGGAAGATAATGTTCCTTCAAGTGAGTTGAGAGAATGCTGGTCCTGACAGACACTCTAGGAAAAATAGATTCTGTTTGGAGAAATGCTGGGGAAGGCATCCCCTGGTGCACACCAGTGTTTGAAATGAACTTCTAAGGACTCTAAAAAACAAAACAAAACAAAAACAAACCTCATGTTTCCCCATAAACATCGAAGAACAAAGAAACCTTTCAAACCCATCGGCACATCACAAGCTCACCACTGATCAACATGCTGAAGAATATACTTTCGGAGAATTATAAAAAACAACAACACAGAGTAGCATCAAGGCAGGACAGCCAAGGAAAGGGGTGAGAAATAGAATGGCCCAACATAGTAGAAAACTCCTAGAGTCCACGTCCGGTACTCAATATGTTTTGGCAGTCCTGGGTGTAGACTATATGTGAATTCATATGGGATTAATTATTGATCCAAAGGAAGCCTGAGTTATTGGATCAATCTGTTACTCTTCTAAGAAGTTGATTTCATTTCAAGATAGATCAAGGAGTGATGATGAAGAAAGAGTCAATAATTCTTGACACTTTCTGAGGCAGTTCTGGAAGTCCTCTTTCATGTCTTTATGAGATGTGATAAAAAAATACAATGAAAGTGGTCATCAAGTGCCATCCAATGGAAAGGCAGTCTCATGAAAACATTATGGGGTGCCCTGATCTACTTTCTTCACTAGATCTGTCACCATTTGACTGTTGGCTCCTTCCCAAAGTCAAATCACCATGAAAGGTAAATGTTTTTAATTAATTTAGGATCTTGAGGCAGGCAAGACAATGCAACTAAAGATATTCACAATAAAGGACTTCCAGAACTGCTTCAGAAAGTGGCAAGAATGATGAGATAAGTGTGTTTCTAATGAGAGGGATTATTTAAGGGGGATTACTGGCAATATGTTTTTTAACTGTTAAAATATATATGAGTTATTAGATTTCATTTCAATTTAAAAATACATAGGGCTGTCACACTGAGCTATATCCCTATTCTATTTTAAAGTTTTGTATTTTGAGGCAGAGTCTCACTAAGTCATTAAATTCCCCAGGCTGGGCTCAATCTTGTGATCCTGCTGCCACCACACCCTAGAGTTCTGGGATTACAGTCTTGTGCCACCACTCTTGATTCATAAATATATTAAATAAATAAACAAATGGAAGACAGACATATCTCCAACCCATCCTGATGGGGAGCTTTCAAAATATCTGCACTTGGAGAACAAAACCCAGTTAGAGCAATCTTTCTGGAATTCTTGAAAGATAATTATAGTTAAACTGAATGACTATATCTTAGGAGAAAGGAATAGATTCTGGAGGAACACCATTCTTTGTTGGTAGACAGGCCAGATTCCAAGATGGTGGGTGGAAATTCCAGGAATGGACTTTTGATGCAGAAAAGCAAGTGTGAGGACAGGAGAGCCAAGTTGGAGACAGGGGATTTTGCAGAGGGGACTTCTGGATGCTTTCCTCTAACCTGTAAATCAAGGCATGATTACTGAAATGATGCAAATCATATCTGTCATGTGCAGTGAGTCCATTTAGTTGTAGTTTATAGTTTTTTTCCTTCAACATTGCAGTAACAACAGTATACAACTTTGTGGTCAAAAAAGTAAAAGCTAGACTAGGAGGGGAGAACTGAACATGTATTATTCAAGTAGATGCTTAATTTGCCTCCTAGAAAACCAATTTTCTTAAAAAGGAATTAATTGACTTTTGTGTAAACTTTCAACATTTTTATAGTCCATTTGGGAAACACAGTAAGACAAGGCAATCCTGTTTCTTTTGGAAACATGAGCTTTTTTCCTTTTGACCTTGTGAGAAACCATTTATTCTTCTGATTTATAAGCATATTTTACATATTTTGGTTAATAATACATCAAGTGTGTAATGTGAGATTTCCCTTAAGAATGTGAAGACCACACATATCAAACTCAGTTATACATGGTATTAAGATATTAGACAAATGTCAATATTACAGCACATATATATTATACTTGTTTCATTGATAGGAACATGCCTTTTGAAAATATTTTATTGGATGAAACTTTCTTATTCTCAGGAAAACTTTCGGTTCTTTCATATAATTTATTATGCCTTTTAAAATTCTGTTTGTTAAAAGCATTGGTACGTTATAAATACCTGTAAAGAAAATATAGCTTAAAATTCCAAGGGAAATATATGTTTCCTCTTTGACATTTTCACAAAAATCCACACAGGCATTAAGAAAGACTGACAAAAATATTTTATGTCTGAACAATATACTCCAGGTTGGAAACATTCAAACACGACTTTTATCTAAATATTAAAGCTTCTGTAGATTGAACCTTTGACTATTGCCCAGTGATTTGGTTGGGGTTTTAACCAGGAAAAGATACTGTTAGGAAAGATTAAAAGAAAGTGTCATACATTTAGCATTAGATTAGGAATGGGGAAAGGATGTGTTTTAACTCTTTTATTACCACTCAGTGGCATCTCTAGCTCTTAGTCTTTTTATATATATTTATTTATTTATTTATGTAATTGAACCTGAATCTGATAACTCTCAGGCTCTTTTGAGTTTTAATACCTATTGAACACCTTATATCAAACAACATGTAAAGCTTCCAAAAACAGACAGTGCTATCAGTCTTTTAGAAGAACATCTGCTAGACAAGGGCATTGTTCTGGAAATAGCCTTGCTGTATACAACTTCAAGTCAGGTCATGTGCATGTCAGGTCAAAGCAGATGAGTTATATTCCTGAACTACTTCAATATCGTGGGTGACATTTTGTGGAAGATCTTCAAACAGCAGCTCAATGGGTGACTTCCAGCATTTCACGTGACTGCAGCCTTTGAGAGCATATTGCGATAGGGAAGCTAAGAGGATGGCAGTGAATTAGTAGTACAAGTGAATCTTCAGGTGAGATGAGGTTGAATGAACACGTCAAATTGGATTTCAAAAGTACTTCCTAAAAGGTATAAAGTAACTAGATTTTTGCCTGTAAATGTAACTAAAATTAATTAGATTATAGCAAAGTCATAATAATTAATGATAGAGCTTGGCTAAAGAAATTGAGGATAGCTTTTTTTCCTTTCCTAATACATTTGCACTTTGAACATCTTTAGCATAAAAGTGGGCAAAATCAAATGCCTACTAGATGTTGACCAGTAAGGAATGAGGTGCCCCATGTAAGTAGCATAGAGCAGGCCAGAGGGACCTGGACCTCAAATCCCACTGGGAAGCTGCTACTCAGTTTTAACCAACTGTTGCCATGGTGTAGATGGGTCTGAATATCCACTTTTATGTGAAACTTCCTATTTTCAACAATATCTCATTTTTAAAAAAACATTCTTCATGCCAAATAGATGCAATCAGAGGAATAAATGAGGCCTATGGGCTGCCAGTCTAGGTCTTCTGACTTGAAGGACGGAAGCAATTTGATGAGAATTTGGATACTATTGGCTGGAAGAGGGAAGAAGATCCTCTAGTGTCCAGAAATGAATACTCAGTTTCAAAGATCCAGACCAATCTGTTCTAGTGACCATGATTTTTTTTCAAATAAGCAAAACCTCTTCCTGGTTCTCCCCATTATAGATATTTTCCTGTTATTACACTGACTCTTCATGTCAGGAGTGGTTGCCTGTTACTATTATTAAACAAATTATGAGTACAAATTAACTGAGAAAGTGGTGTAAATTAATTCCCTCAATATTGAGTTCGTGGCTGAGAAAGGAGACAGGTAGGGGAAACCTCCAGAAGAAGGTGAACAAGAGGAAGACCAGGACACGCAGCATGAGTCACAGCCACCTTAGATCTATAGAGGTTTGCATGGCATGCCAAGCACGCAGGAATGTTCTAGAACCCCTCTCACCAGACAACGCAAATTTCAAGGTCTGTTTCTGGATGGAGAAGATCCAGCTTTTTCTCCAAAATATCTAGATGATCACTCCCATAATGAGTAGTACTTTGAAGTAGAAAGGCCAAGGCTCTAGGGTATGGGCCTAATTGTGAATGCTTTCATTAGATACTTTGCTAATGCTTCTTTGGCATCAAAATTCAAAGAACCACATGGCAAAGACATCCCTCTTCTTTACAGATTACTTTTTCATATTAATGAATCTGCCAGGCTTTCCCCTTCTGGTAGGGAATGACATAGGCAGGCTCAAGGAGGCATTCCAGTGTTTCATGGAGTCACATGTCAACTGTGACTCCAGAAAGAACAAAACACTTCACTTGTGCAGGCAGGGAAGACATGTTTTGAAAGAGCTACAACCAATTCTGGAAGTTGGATTTACTATTTGAGCTCATCCCCTTCAAATGTACAGTTTGGGGAGGAAAAGGAAAAGTACCAAAAAGGATATTATAAGCATAGAATCAAAGACAAGACAACCACTTCAGACACAAGCAAAATCTAAGGGAGAAGGAAGATGCGTGAATATTTCCAACTTGGGACCACATACTTGCTTTAATTTTCCTCATTCAGAATGTCCACCAGAGCTTGCAGCAGCCGGTCATCTCTGTGTTTATAAGGTTTTGTGTTATAGAAAACATCCACATAGTCGTTATAGAGACTGTCCTCAGAGTCTTTAAGCTGGAAAGGTTTGTTCAGCTTTTCCAGGGCTTTATAGAAATTTTCATATGGGATGTTGAGCTTTGCACTTGGAGACTTCTTTGGTGATTGCTTTGGAGTTGAGTTTTTGCTGAAAGCACTTTGTAGGAGCCGCAGCATGGCCTGGGAAGGGGCCCCCTCTGCCTGTTCATCCCATCTGTCTCCCACACTGCTGCTGCTGCTGCTGGCGCTTTTAGATACCAGGGGGTCCTCATTCAGGTTCTGTTGTGTGGGCTGCTCCTAAAACACAGAATGCCACCAAGGTGGAAAAGTTCATTGTTTATAGCCAAGCAAGGTAGCTGCAGCCTTAGCACAAGCCCCCCGCATGTTCCCTTGAAAGGGCATTTGGGGAGCAGAAACAGCACAAGGCTCGGAGCCACACAGACTCAGGTTTCAACCCTCATTTTTCCTGGCAACGCTTATAATCTCCCTGAATTTAACCTGTAAAATAGGAATCAGAATACAGCCATTTCTGGTCATTTTCAAGAATGAATGAGATAACATAGATAAGTGTTCAGGATGTGTTGGTTTCCCTCACTTGCTATCCTGCTATAATAGAATCCATTTTGAGAAGATGACATTAAATATTTAACAATTCATTTAGAAGGCATCAACCAGTTAATACAGAATAGAGTGGCTTTCTAGAGGCCCCCTGCTCAGTTAGAAGTTCCTCAGTCACAAGAAGGGAGTAGGGAAGAGACTGAGGTGGTGGGGCTAGGAGGAGGGAACTGGAGAGATCAGAGAAGTGGCTCTTTGTCAACCACTTCGGAAGTACAGTCGCTCCCTTGACCTTCTGCAGGTATGAAAATCTGTGTACACTCAGAAAATGGCATAGTATTTGCACAGAACCTATGTACAGCCTTCTGTATACATTAATTATCTCTGGATTACCTATAATACCCACTAGAAGGTAAATGGCATGTAAAGAGTTGTTATACTGTGTGTTTTTAGTGAATAAATGGCCAGGAAAAGTCTGTATATAGTTCAGTGCAGACACAATTATTTTCCCAATATTTTTGATTTGTGGTGGGTTAAATCTGGGGCTGTGGAACTCAGAGCTATAGAGGCCCAGCTGCATTTCAGTGTTTTAACAAAGGAAGGTTCCTGTTAATACCTCTTAAGGAATTTCAGAGGGAGAAACCCTCATGAAGTACCAGATTTGGGAACTGAAAAGAAGAGGACCTTGGGACTTATATCCTGGCAGGAAGCTACTTAGTGGAGTATGATTTCGGCCAGAATCCAAGCCAAGGCCTTTGCATAGTTAGTTGATAAATTTCTTGAGTAAATACTGTGTCTTTATATCTTGTAAAATGTCCAGCACTGACATGATTGAAGCAGGTCATTGTAGAAATTTTGAAAATTTACCTACTACATCTGAGGAGCTGTGCTAGACACTAGGGTATTCTAAAATAAAGAAAATTTGGCTTCACCAGTCCATAACCCAGCAGCTTCCAGAGGCTGAGACCCAGGAGTGCCAATGACTTCCATTTGCCTGAGGAAAGATGTGATTCCATAGTTCTCCTGGGGATCTCCAGGATGTGTCAGCTAAATATCAGTGACTAAAGAGGAATCAGTGAAAAGATGTCTATGTGTTATGGTCACTTTGGCCTTGGTTTTCTTTCTGCAAAATGCAAAATGGACATACTAAGGTCTATCTTTCCTAAGTTATAAAGATTATCGGGCTGGGGATTTAGCTCAGTGGTTCTACTGCCTGCCTCACAAGTGCAAGGTCCCGAGTTCGATCCCCGGTACCAAAAAAACAAAAAACAAAAAATAAAGATTATAGATTGAAATGAGGCAGTGGAAACCACTGAAAAAATAAGGGCAGTACAAATGTTAGCTACATGTGGTCATGCATAAAGACAGCTTTATTTATAATTTGTTGCCATAAATGGTTAAGCTTCATATTGGAAATTTTATTTTGAACTCATAATAAATTCTAGAGAAGAAACAGTAAGTTCCTTAGGGAAATCAACAGCTTCCTACTACTTCTCCCTTCCTCCCTGTGCAGTCCTGGCCCATTCCCTGTCTAAAAGTGGGGTGCACATCTTTGCTCACTGCATTGCCTACAGAGTGCAGAGAGAACATGCCAAAAGTGGGGGGCACAAACCTCTCCTGCATCCGCCATCTTCTCCACCCCTCTTCTGTCATTCTGAACGGTGTTGTAGGACGTGTACACACGAGGCTGTTTCATGTGCTCTGGCTGAGAAGAGGTTCCATGCAAAATCAGCTTCCAGTTCACAATTCTCCCTTCATTTTGTACTCTTCCAGACTAGTGAATAAACATATGTATATTTTTAGTGTGTTTTGAATATAAGAAAACTCATTCAAAATAGCAAAAAAGGATTTTATACTTAAAATCTTATTTTAGGATCCCATGCATTCCATGTTCAGAGCTCTATTTTATAAGAACCATCAAATTAACTCTTTATAAAAGTTGCTATAAAACTTTATAGTTTTGATAATTTAAAAACTGATTAATTGCCCACAATTAAGCATCTAACTGAAAAAAGCAGAACACTTTATGCAAATCTTTTTCATATTGGTATATTCTTCAAAAGTTGACTATACTTGAAATATAAAATATCTAAAACAAATCCAAAAGTATAGCATCAGATTTTACAGATGATATAAAACAGTCCCATCTAGGGAAATATATTTTCTTAGTTTCCTAAATTGTGAAATTGAATTAAAGAATTGAGGACAAGTTCCAGAACAGGACCAACTACTAGGAACATTATATTGCTTTCTTATGAGAACAGAACTTTTTATGACTTTAATTTCTGCATAATTTTCTTGTTTTGTTTTGTTTTTAAATGTATATCCTTTTATTGGTACATTTTAGGTATACAATATAATGACATTCATCATGGGAAATTTGCACCTTTACATAATCTCTCTTGGTTCTTATTTTTTCCCCCTTCCCCTGCCTTCCCTACAACCCCTCCATCCCTCCCTATTTACAGAGACTTTGTTTCCTTTTTTCCATTTTCTCATATTAATTCCATTCCCTTCTTTCCTTTCCCCTACCCATCCCCACTTCCCCTTTCCCTTTGCCCCTTTTCTTCCTATTTCACATTATCTATTATACCTTTTAGTCCTTATTTACACTTTCAGTTTCTCACACCAGAGAAACTATTTGGTATTCACATATGTGTGTCCTATTTATTTCACTTAACAGTATCGCCTCAATGTGGATCCATTTAGCTATAAATGTCTATAATTTCTTATTTTTTATGGCTGAGTAGTACCCCATTTTATTAAAAAAACACATTTTCTTTATCCAGTCTCCAGTTGATGGGCATTTGGGCTGTTTCCAAGTTTAAGCTATCACAAACTGTGCTGCTATGAACATGGGTGCACATATATCACTGTGGTATGATTCTTTTAATTCTTTGGGGAAGATACCCAGCAGGGAAATAGCTGGGATTATGACTTTAATTTCTAAGCCATAACTTTAGTAATCTGTAACAGAAAGCTGTTCTAAATGATAGCGAGTAATGACTACACAATTTATATTGGTCAACATTTTTAGAAATTTAAAATAAATTCTTTTAAAAATATGTAGAGATGAATATTTATACTGCTGATATTTACTGCAGTTTATTTCAGGAGACCTCAGAACATTATTCATTTATATTCTCGACTATAGAAAATGGAGAAATTATGCAAAAATAAATAATTTAGCTATATTTAGTTTTTTGTCATTCACTCTTGCTCTGTCCTTTCATTTTGGTCACTATGTGTTAAAATTACAGAAAAATGCCAAATAGCATTAGCACAAGTTTTGTATCCTTTGTCTGAAATGCTTGAGACTAGAAATGTTTCAGACTGCTGATTTTTTCAAATTTTGGAATATTTTCAGAGGCTTCACTAGTTAAACATCCTAGATCCAAAAATCTGAAGTTTGAAATGCTTGAAAACCAAAAGCTTCTTGAATTTCATGTCAGCCCAAAAGAACAAAATGAAAAATGTTTTCCATTTGTTTTATGACTGAAGATGGAAAAAAAGTCATATTAAATAAGATACCTTGCCTAAAATGAAGCTACTTCTCAATAGCTACTGCACAATAATCTTAAGAATGTTTTCACATGACTCCAGCAAACTGTCATGGCAAAGCATTTGACTGTCTTCATGAACATGGCTGATTCTAATTGTCACAGAGCCCGTGGCTCATTGGCCTTAGACCTGGGAATTCCCGGATTTGGCCCATAGTCTGTCATGTTGTTTATCAATTGTTAGGGGTTATATCTAGATGTCCCCCAAAGCCTCATGTGGATGAGGTGGAACTTTCTTTTTCAGGGGTAGTTGAATCTGGAATATGTGATCCTAGGGTTAAGGGCATGTGATTACTAAACCACTACACGTGAGTGATTAGTTTGGCACCACCCTAATCCCTGTAGTCTGAACAAGATAAAAGGGGCAGAGAGATGCTGTTGAATCCTCTTGTTGTCTTTGCTCCCTTGTGCATTCCATGTTGTTTCTCCTCTGTGATAATGTTGCCATCCCTGCCTTGGAGCCAGCTGATTATGGACTGAAACCTCTATGAACTGTAAGCCAAAAATACCCCTTTCCCTCCAACTTTGGGTGTGAGTATTTTGTCTCACCAATAAGAGAAAAGTAACTAGCTGGATCTAGGATGTGTGATGCTGGGATCAAGGATGTGATACTAGGATTAAGGGTGTCCCCCCTTTGGGTGTGAGTGCTACTGGCCCTAAGAGTGGGTAGCCTGGATAGGATATAAGGGACAGAAAGAAGGCTTGCTGCTGTTCCTTGCTTGCTGCTTCTTTACTACTCTGCATCTTTGCTGCCTTCTGCCTGCCATGAACTGTTTCTCCTCTGTGTGCTTCTCTGCCATGCCACCCTGCCTTGGAGCCAGCCAACTACGAACTGAAACCTCTACAAACTGTGAGCTACAATAAACCTTTCCTCCTTTAATTTTGGGTGTCTACTCTCTTGTAGTATGCCTGGTACCTAATCTTGAATTATTATCTATGTATCCAAGTGGAGAGGGCTTCAAACACTACACTTTCTCCTACTTATACTAATCAGTGGTCAAGTTCTTTTCTAAGTATTTAAAAGTGAGTATCTTTTCTTCATCTTTAGATTAATACTTACCATATCCGTAATTCTCAAAGTCCAGGTGCCTACAGGGTTCTCTCCCCAAGTATGAACAGACATGAAATCCCAATTCTTAAAGCCATTAGGGGATGTGTCACGCTCCCTTTCAGCCAACAGTACAGTGTTGGTTCCTATTTCCATGCAAAAACATAAGGTAATCAATTTCCTAACAGCTTACATATCAGGATACATTCAAAAATGAAAACTAGGAGAGATTGGTCCTCATAATTTGCCAGTGTAAGGCCAGGTTAGAGACATTCACAAGGAAAAAAAGTTTTTATCCACAGTACTTAGCACATTGCCGTCATATAATAATTTACTTTAAAATGTTATATGAAACTAAATAATAAATTAATATTTTGATTAAGGTTTGTTTGAATAAGGAGAACTCTGACAACTACCTTTATAAATTGGACCAAATAAGACTCAAATATCTAAAGTATATTTTAGTGGCACTATCATTTTGAATTATAAAAAGAAACCTTGAAAATTTAGGTACTTGAGTCTAGAAACTAATGTGGACATAAAAATAAACTTATCATTTAGTTAACCTATTTAATGATAAATCATGCCAATAATTGATTTAAAATATATTAATTTAATAATTGTTTATCATATAAAAGCTAGTATTAGAAGTAACTGTTAAATTTTCAAGTCCCAATATTCTAAAGATCACTAAATAACATTTCATTCAAAGTAAAGGCTTGAATAAAAAATTATCCTATGATATTTCAGGCCAATTACAAGACATCTAGATGGCATAACTCTAAAACTGATGGCACTCTCTCCAAATCTTCAGGAGTTCATTTCTTAGCAAGGGTTTACAGAAGTAGCTCGTCTTTGCTTATTTATCACTTCTAGAAATTGAATTTGGTCAGTTGGGTCCTCCAAAAAAAATGACAACATTGGGATAATTTCTCTTGGTTGGATTGTGATTTATGGCTCACTAGTTCTTATCACATCTGAATTAGCACTATTTCAGGAAAAGGGCATATCTCCATATATCATATCATATCATATAGACTTATAGCATAATAGGAATTTTATTAGTTACCACCTTCTTTTATGTATCAGAATTTCTATTTTTCAACTGATTCCTTGAATGTTTCAGACATATCTTTCAATTTTGTGAATTATCAAAATAATTTTCACTAGCATATTCCCTAAGAGAAATGAATGGTATGTCAGTAACCTGAGAGATGAACATGGTTTGAAGCCGCATGATTTCAAGAAGTTTTATTATTTGGTATTATGTGAATGGACCACATTCTTTGCTTACCTAAGGGTGAGTAAGAATGAGCAGGGCAGAGGAAATCTAACACCAATGAACATGTTTTTCAGACTTGAAAATACCTTTATGAAAATTGTTCTACAAATAAACAAAAGCAATCATTGATTTACACTTAAAAATTTAGAAGAGATGTTTTTTAGTTTACCAGCAGCAGAAGTGAGTGTGACATGAAGGTCTCCTCTACGGGAATACTCAATTGTTGCTTCAAATTGCACATGTTCCAGGGACTTAATGGAGTTTTCTTGTCCTTCACAAGCCCTTGTTGGAATTTCAATGATAACTTCTCCATTAGCTTTCAGGGCTCTAAATACATGAGACAAGCAGCATTGAATAAAGTGTGCCGTGCCTTTCACTTATTTATGCACAGAACTACACGTTAGTCTTGACCTGAAACTCAGCTTGGCATGTTGTCACTCCCTGTTATAAGTGAAACCCAATTCAAGACTAGCTATGAAATAATTGAATGTATAAAAATATACTAAGGAACACAAGTACTTAATTAAGTACAATGCTATTTGTGGTGGAACCAAATTCAGGCAAATTCATCAAAGGTAGTAAATTACTGCAATATCAAAAACACCCTCCTAAGGAAAAAAAAAATGATTTTATCTATAAAGACTTCCGTGGACATGCTCTCCAGCCTCCCATTTGGTTTTGATATTATTATGGTTGTCCTGATAGAAACAACAAAGCATTCATGGAAGATTCTGCTTCTTGACCGGATATGATGAGTCAGAGGTGTTCTATGTAAAAGAAGTATGATAAAGAATCCTTCATGGAAAAGAGACATGAAGCACATAACACTATAGGATGAGGCAAAGCTATTTTGGAAATAGGTTTTGTACTGGCCCGCAAGTCCTATTTTATCAACCCAAAGATACATTAAAAAATAGGTTGAATTTAGAATTAAAACTGACGGTTGATTGGTGATGTTTGACAATGCTTTTTCTTAGTGGTATATTAAACAATGGTGTTTATATCGCATCTTAAACTTAATGCGATGTGGGAGGTGGATGACGAGAAGAAAACCCAAATATGGTAACATGATTTATAGATCTTTGGTCTCACAATAATTCTCCACGGAGAGCCATCTAGCAACTCAATCTCCATTTACTTTAGAAGGGGAGGTGAGAAAACAGTTAGGTGGAGTAAGAAACATTGTAGGGCATACATTTGTTTAAAATTCCTGGAGGCACTTACCTGGGCTCAAAGTCATTGTCTTTTACAACACATTGTTTCTTCTCGGGTACACTGCTCCAGCTCCGAGGATCAGCTAAATCCACCAGAGCTTTGGCATTTAGCAAGCCAAATCCAAATCGACTATTCACCATCAAGCCTGCTCCATTCTTTTTCCATCCAGGATTATTGGCCAGTGGGTCATACTCAGAGGTCCAGACAACCAAGTGCTGCATGTCTCTCCACGTGAGGTTTGGGCTGGAGGAAAAGTGACCCAAAGTATCTTATCAGGGATAAAACGAAGTTTCCTTGCAAAATCAAGTGCTAAAAATAAGCATCTCCATTCAGGGATTATAAAGTATCTATTGTAATTTTATTTAAAAGGGACAATTGATGTTTTGCTTTATTTAGAACTCAAAATGCAGAGGTGAAACTTCGACCCGTAACATGTAAGTTCTTAGTGCAATTCAACCCTCAGCATTGTAGAAGTATAAAACTTGGTGCCTGATCTCTAATTATTCGTTTTTAACTGGACCAAAATTTTATGTCATCCATGAAAAGCCTTAGCATTTTCAGCAGATGAGCCCATCGATCTTTCTAAGGAATAATCAGATTTTAAAGACATGGGCTGGTTACCTACTCTGAAGCACATTTTATCTCTTTTCTTTATATAGTCAACTTTCCATATCTATGCATTATGCATCTGTAGATTTAACCAATTATGGGTCAAAAACATTTGAAACAATGCATCTGTAATGAACATGTACAGACTTATTATTCCCTAAACAATAGAGTATAGCAGCAATATCCATATCATTTACATCCTATGAGGGATTATAAGTAATCTAGAGATGATTTAAAGTATGCAGGAGGTTGTACATAGGTTCTATGGAAAGTACTATGCCACTTTACATGAGGGAGTTTCACAGATTTTGGGTTCTGTGGAGGCTCCTGAAATGAATTGCTGGCAGAAATCATGGAATGACGCTACGTCAACTCTTAGCTACCTGAGGTCACTGTTTAAAGGCATTATGCTAAATACCATGGCTCATTCAAGAGGTAGTTCTTGTTCTTAAGAAGCTTATAATCCAGTAAAAAAAATTTAAGCCTTTTTATAAATATATATGTTAAATGTTGTATTCATAACTTGATGTATTATGAGAGTTTGGAGAAAGAATTGTCATGGAATGGAAAGATCTAGGAAGGTTCTATTGGAAAGAAACACTTCAGCTGAACTGTAAAGGGTTGGTAGGTTGGGAAGAAGTGGCACTAGAGAAGAGGGTAGGAGGTAGTTGGGGCAAAAGCACAAGCCTGGGGCAGTACAAGGTGAGGCCAGATGACAATCTGGTCTGCTGGAGCAGGTAAGAGGTAGTGAGGAGTACCAAGCCAAAGTGATGAGGCCCATAAACATAACAAAAGGGAGTTTAGACATTGTTCTTTGGGCACTGGCAATCAGTGAAGATTTAGGAGCGAGAAAACGGTAAAATCAGAAGTTTCAGTAAGATCAGTTTAGCAACAATATAGATACATTGGAGATGCAAGGGATTGATGGATCTATTGTATGTTGAGGCCCTTCTCTGATCACCTTATTTAAGATTTCAACTCACTTGTTTTGTGTATTATTAATGTCTGTCTCCATAGCTAGAATTCAGTCAAGAGAAGGGATGCGATCTTTATCCATCTTGTCTCCTGTTGTGTGCCAGTCACCCAGAAGAATGTTAGGCTCAAGGGCAAATGCAGAGTAAGTAGTGGTTGGTTGGATATTTGAATGTGCCTCTGTTAAATAGATTGAATATAATTTTAAAACTTATTGCTATTCAGGCTGGGGATTTAGCTCAGTGACATCATGCCTGCCGCACAAGTGCAAGGTCCTGAGTTCGATCCCTGGTACCAAAAAAAAACACAACTTATTGCTATTAGTCACTAAATTGTATTATCACATCAAACTTTTACTTGCCTTTAAGACCTGAATTGTTTCCCTCAAGCCAATTAAGATGACTTAATAAATAATGTTCGCAGGTCTCCTCTTCATGTTCTGAATATTTGACGGTGAGTATGTAAAACAATCATCAGGGGAATCCAGCTCAATTTTCTGCTATCTTCCCTGAGCCCATAAAGCACTTGTTACACAATCCCCTAGCAACAAGGAAGAGACAGGGTGCATTCCTAAACAATCAGGAGTCAGGCTTCTGGTTAAAAACTTGCATGTGATTTTCAGGCCCGACCATAGGCAACTTCAGAGGCTTGCCCTGGCAGGGCCCTGGGGAAAGCTGCCCTCCTGGCGCCAGCCCAGGTGCACCACCAGTGCACTGTGGCCCCTGGAGGAATTACAATCAAGCCTCAGATCCCCTGCTACATTATGCTCTTTGCCTATGTGCTTCCCTAGCCCTGTGAATGAAGACCTTCATTCCTAGATGTATTTGAGTCCTTAGAGAGAGGCCTACCGGAGGCCTTATTTTTAAATTTTTCTTTCATCTAATCTTTTAATAATATTTTAGGAACTTCATTGCCATGCAATTAGGGAAATTAAACCTACTTTCCTAACAGAGTTATTCTTCATTTGTGTGCCTGTATTTCATAAATGAAAAGGAGTTGCTAACCATAGTGTAAATCATTCCTGACAGCCTTCCTTTATTAATTAGCATGTAACAGCATCCACAATAATTACATTTCTTTAAACAACACATTGTGTTGCCAATCAAAGATATGTTTATAGAAAATAAGGGTTTTGAAATTAAACATTGAAATTGAGCATTGCTTCTGATTAGAAGAGATGTAGGTAAAGTTGTCTGGAGACAAAATTCAATAGTGAAAATTCTTACGGATTCCCTGGTGCAGTTTCTAAGCACACCTAGCTGAAGCCAGGTGTTGAAGATTTTCTAACTTAGACTTTAAACCTCTTCACCACCACAGAGATTTTTTTGCAAAAGCCTCATGGAACATTGAAAGTTCATTTCTCTGTCTTTAGACTTTAATAAATACCTAAGATTGGTTCACCTGTTTAATACTGCCAAAGGTGTAAAAGGATCAATGATTCACTTTAGAATATTTCTCTCCTATTAAAAATTATTCTGATTCTTTTGAATAGTCTTTGAAGACTGAGTCTACTCTCTGCCAGCTTTCTTCGCTGCAGTCACTGAATATTAATGATGGTGCTACAGGCACTTATGCAAAGAATTTCTCTCTTAGTATATTTATCCTGAGGATATGTCTATTAAATACCTTAATGGCATCTTTACAATCCCAGCTAAATGAGGTTGTAGGACATAATTCTGTATAGCAGTTGTTCCTGCTATAAAGCAGGAACATTAAAACCACCTGGGATAATTGGTAAAGATGGGGATCACTGGGCCACATACCTGAAACTCAGGAATCTGAGTCGCTAGCAATAGGACCTGGGAATCTACATGTTAAATAAATGCCACAGGCGATTATTCTGTATGCTGGAATTCAAGAAACAATGTTCTAGGGAAGAAAAGTCTTCCCCTGTACCTATTTTAGCAAGAAACTATTCTTTCTCCTTTTTCCTTTTCCCTTTTCCCCTAGATACATACTCTTGTTTAGACAGTAAACAGGAGGAATTTACAAATACATGTTCATTTATATCAGCTTCAGTCTTCTTAATCATCCTCTAATTGATGAGATAAGAAGCTTTGAGCCAACATTTCTCTCCCAGCAGGGTTATGGGAGGCAATATATTGTGGGTGCTGATAGCACAGCTTTGGGGTAAGGCCTGATTTTGAATCTCTTTGAGTTTTCAGTTATATTTTTCAATATCTCTAAGCCTCAATTTCTTTTTCATTTATAAAATGTAGTTAATAACTTCTATGTTATAAGAAAGCTGTAAGGATTAGAATCAGTATGGTATGTAAAAGGTTAGCATAGTGTCCAGGCTATGGTTAAGAACCTGATACATGTTGAACATCATTATTTTTGATAAGTATAGTGAAGAGTTCTTCTTTAGTCTCCATAGTTATTCCTTGCAGGATTGCACATGTTTAAATGATTTTTCTCAGTTTTGAGTATCTAGAGACAAATGTTGGCATTCAGAATTTTTGATACAATATAGTCTACATACAGGCAATTGAACAGAGTTCAGAAAACCATCCAACTGAGAACAGACCTATTAATATACTTTGGCAGGAAGGATATAAGTCTCCATCTTACTAATGAATGAAATAAAAACGAAGGGAATTAAATTCTTAGAAGAATTTGTCTTGGGAGATAATAGATTTATTGTCTCTTAAATTATAAACATTGTGAGAACCTACTGGAACCTACAAACCATTCCCAAGAGTAATTGTATACACATATTTTTAAGCAATTCTGCATTAAGTTGCAAAGTGCTTCTTGGACCACTTGAAAACCATCTATGTACTTCAGAGTAACAGATTTAGGGAGAATCCACCACAGGCTAATGAGACTACGTAGTTCTTAGGTTATTTCCCCTTTGTATAGAAACAGAAGGCTTTGTGTTTTAGAAACCAGGACAATTTTAAAATTCCAGTTCATCTGTGAAAATAGATCATATCTGTTCACCTAGATGGATATTTATACTACACTGGTCACTGGACAACCTGGGCTAAGTCTGGCTAGTTATATTTACATCATTTTGTTGAGTACAGCAGAAAGACCCTAGACTTAAAATTTTAAAGGTAGATTTCTTTTAATAGCTTCTTATGGCTAATAGTCTGTGTCATGAGATCATAAACATTGTAAGCCTGTTTCATATTTTCTTCTGGTCCAGATCCCTCACTACCAACCTCAATAGTTCATGATGGGCTACTTCTATATGCCCTCATCTTCACTTTCAGATCTGAGAATCTTATGAAGGGAAGTAGTTTAAGAAAAGTGGTCTGATTTGACCCTTTCATCTTGCAGACGGAGAGACTAAACACCTGAATTAACTGCCATACGGTCACACAGCTAGTGATATATTTAGAACTTGAAGACAGGTGTTCCCTGCAAGATTTACTACTTGAAATATTTCTCCTTGAAGTCAGTTTAGATTTACTGATGTCAGTCTTAGCTTATGTTCATACAATTTTGTCCTCGCTCCATCCCCTTTCTATTACAAGTATATTCAGATTCTGACACAGCTTTTCTGTTGGTACCAAGATCAGTTTCTGATTGATCACCTAGATTTGATTTTTCCCTTCATCAAACATCTCCTCAATCCTTTCAAGTAGGTAAACTCTGGGTAAAGGCCTGAAAGGTTGATTTGCTTAGCTAATTTTTTGGTGCTGAGGGTCAAACTTAGGACCTTCTGCTTGCAAGGCATCCACTGCACCACTGAGCTAAATCCCCAGTCCTGCCCTGCTTAGCTATCATGGCCATCTCATTGATGAGATACCCAGAGACTATACCACATCTCCAAGGTCCAAGGATTTCTAGAGCTATGCTAAACATTCCTGGGCAAATCTTGGAAACTTTATGGCTTCTCTAGGTGTGTGTGGCAAAGTGCAAGCTCTTCTGTATTTCTGCTTCAGGGAACTTTGTCTACTGAATAGGACGTGAGGGGATTACTCTGTCTTCTCACTACAGAATATACACTTACCTCTAGCATAGACTTCTTATTAGACAGTCTAATAGTAATTTATAGGATTTGCTATCCATATTGGTAGCAGAGAAGTGGGGTTGTTGCTATGACCATACTTGACCATGTGGTTTAAAAGTCTGTGGAACTGGCTTATGGGAGGAGTTTGGAAAAGTTTGAAAAGTGGCCTTGGTCCTATAATGATATAAACAGAGCTTGATGAGAGATTCTGGGTACAGCTCAGAAGACCAGTGTGTTGATAGGAATGTGGATAGTAAAGGCCAAAATCAGGAGGTTCCAAATGGAAACAAGGATTCTATTGGCAGTGAGATAAGGCGCCATGTATGTTACTCTCTGGAATAAAATTTGTTTACATTTTTCCCATGTCCTGAGACTTTACAGGAGACTGAGGTTTTATAGGTGACTGAGATTAAGGACAGTGGATTGATTTATCTGGCAGAAGAAATATCAAGTCAGCCCAACATGTAGGCTGTGGCTTGAGTACTGCTGTTTGCTTTTAACTGTATTTATAGAGACAACTGGGGGAAAAAGGCAGAGAAGAAAAATTTGAGAAATTCAAATTTTAGCCCAGAAGGAACCCTGTGTAAAGTGGGGTCCAAAGAAGATATGGTTCCTAAAGAGATTAACACCATTAAAATGAAAGCAAGCACTTTGTACAAAGATAAGAATAAAGATACTTTGAGGACATCTCAGGAATCAGTAAGATCTCAGCCTTGGTAGGCTTAAGGGTGCAAAAGTGTTGACCTTTCATTTGAGAAAAGAGTCTTTGGGACCCCTGCTTGAGAAAGGCCTCCTAAGGAATTGGTATCCTGGGATTTATTTCATGATGTTCAGCCATCCAGGCAGTCAGAGGCCTTTAAGCCATGTTCTAAGGGGGCCTGATGACTGCTCCTACTGACAGCAGAACTTATCATTATCCACGTGGTGCTAGTTTTACTGGCATGCAGAATGCAAAAGTTATGAGGTGAAGGAGGCTTCCACTCAGATTTCAAAGGAAGACCTGAGAAGCCAAACAAGTAATCTTTGAAAGGACAGTGTGTGAAGTTGTGGGAATGAAACAGAAAATGCAGTGAAGACTTCAGAAAGTCAGAAATTCCAGGAATATAGAATGTCACCTGAGGAAAGCTGTGGACAATAAGAATAAGGATCAGCCAAAGAGAGAGGTCTTGTGGGCCACAATCATCAAGGCAATAGGAAGGGTCTACTTAGGCCCTTTGTAAAACATATTTTACCAACATGTGCCTCAGATGCTGGACATGGAACTACAGGATTTGTTGCCCTGCTGGTTTTCAATCTTGCTTTGGTACAATTCTTTTCCATCTCCCTATTCCTCCCTTTTAGAATGAGAATGTTTAACCTGTGCCACTATACCTTGGAATTACATAATTTATTTTTTATTTTTACAGAGGTTCACAGCTAAGTGTTTGCCTTGAGTCTCAAAAGAGACTTGGACTTTTGAAAAATGCTGAAACTGCTGAGACTTTTGGGAAGTAATTATTACATTTCCAGATATTCACAGGACAGTTGTATTATGTTAGATGGAAGTATAAACTTGTTATTGTTTTTATTTGGAGATTAAAGAATGGTATAAGGATATGTGTTTGCATATGAAATTACAAGGACTGAATTGTGACTATTCATCTTGATATGGATTAAGAAATACCTAGATTAGTAAAGCATGCTCCTGGGTGAGTTGGGGGGGGGGTCATGTAGGTATTGCCTTGGGTAATACATATGGTCCCTCACCCATTCCTTTCTAGCATTCTTCCCCTGATCTGCTATCCAGTCTCCATGAACTAATCAGCTTTGTTACACCATGTCCTTCTGCCATGATGTCTCTGCCTTGGAGCCAGGCAATCATGGACTAATACCATGAGCAAATTAAACCATTCCTCTCTTAAGTTTTGAGTGTCAGATATTATATTCAGCAACAGAAAAGCCAACCAATATACCATATAACACAAGAAAGAAGGAATAAGAAAAAATAAAAAGCTGTGAAGGTACACTATGTGATAATTAGATTTTCCCTTCTGTGTTAAGTTTTGGATTACTGAGTAACTATTATCAGGGGAAAAATGTTGTTAAAGCCGTTTTAACACCATGAATGAAAATAAATTCTGGGAGGATTTAGAATTTATATATAGTAACATGACCATAATAAAATACAAAAATAAATATTAATCTTACTTTGGGTTATGAAGATTTTTTTTCTGAGCATGAAAACAAAGAATGGCACCTTAAAGAAACAAACTACCAAACATGTAAAAACACATTAACTTCATTTCACTAAAATTTCTTATAAACAAAATTAAAAGGCAAATGTCAAACTGATAAAGTATTAATAACTTTTCTGATCCCAAGCCATAAAACAAAATCAAAGCAGTAAAGAGGAAATCCCACAAGACAAATGGCCAAAGGATATAAAATATTGAGCTTCATTAGTAATGAAATAAAACATATTAAAATAAATTATCACTTTCATCTATGAAAACAGCTAACATTTAAAAAGATAAGAGTAATTCTGGCAAGAATTTTGGAAACTGGCACTTTCATGTACACACTCCTGCTGAGAATATAAAATGGTACAGACTTTCAAGGCAGCAACTTGTTAATATGTATCAAAATTGTTAAAGTAGGGTTACTCTTTGGCCCAGAAATTCCAATTCTAAATGTTTATCCCAAAAAATTATCAGAGATGATAATCAGTATTTATGGACAAGAATGTTTACCTAAGGATGATTAGATATCTTTAAGAAAATTTCCATTTATGCAATGGGATACTATGAAAAGACAAAAACCTGTCTAAATCTCAGGTCCCCTGATATATTAGCTCTAGGACTAAGCTTATATATTCTAAAAAAAGATATTTTATAAACTTGCTATTCCTAATACTACCTACAGGAAATTATTTAGATGACATTCTGCCTGATAGGAAGGTCTTACGGCTTAATTGGAAGAGGAGAAGGGAGAGCCTGAGTTTTTAAAGGTCAAGGACTATTAACTTAAATATCAGAATACTTTTAGCATTATAAGCTGGATTTTTAAAAAATACAAAGCAATGTGCATATTAAGATCTCCCTTCTCTAAGATACATGCACAAAATCTACCTCAAGATGTCAACAATGGTTATCTCTATGTGACAGCAACAGAGCTTATCTTCTTTCATTTTCTTTAAGTTTTCCAAAATTTCTCCTGTAACCGTGTATTCAGGAAAAAACATGTTACCAATAAGGAGAAGCAGCCTCTGTTAAGGTGATTAGAAGCTTTCTGGGTCTTACTTTGCTTCCAGGGCCAGAGCGAAGATGCCAGCAGCCAGGGGTGCAGACGCTGAGGTCCCCGTGTGGGTCTCAGTGCAGTCGTTGTGCAGATCTGCGCTTGTCTGGACGGCATGGGGAAGACAAAGAAAGACAGGGACACATGAGGAACCAGAGGGGTAACCACACCCAGGCCTGCATCTGCTATGACCAGGAAACTCAGCTGATTCCAATCCCCACTTCCTCCCTAAACCACGAGCGGATGTTTGCCATCTGCTGATATTTTAGTTCACTTTCCTCTATATGCAACTTGTCTATAATTCTGGCACCAAGATGCCTTTTCTGGGGATAAAGTACTCCCACTATGAATATTTTCTCTTCTGAGATTCCCAAATGAACTGCTGTCTATAAAAAAGAAACTGCTTTGAAACCAGTGTGAATCATGCTGGCCCATTAATCATCAGGTCCATTGTGTTCAGTCCAGCATATTTAGAAATTCTGCCTCATTCAAAATTCCCTTTGGCCTTCACTTTGACACTTGGCTGTCTCTTTAGCACCAAGATGCAAAGCCATCCTGATCTTAGTCCCTTGAACTACTTGCATAAAATTGGTGGAGTATATACTTTGGACTCTGTTATCTAGATTTGATGCCTGTGAGTTAGTATCTGCAAGTGCATTTTGATGAAAATGATAGGTTATTTAAAGGAAAAGGGTGCTGAACTTAGTTTTGTATCTAAATTCTAGAACAGCTATTCTTTAGATGGGTCCCATGTGCGGTCCTTTGGTTTTCCCACCTGTAAAATGAGATTTACATTCCCAGACTCATATTCTCTGAGGCTTACGTGAGATCCCACCTGTGAAAGTATTTTTACACAATATTATCACATGGAAGGAATTGGGCAGGCTAGTCACTAACATGAAAGGAAGAAACCCAGAAGTCTTCCAATCAATCTGCTTGAAGGACCTCAGACAAGTAGTTCAGCCAAAGGATTACTAACAAGACACCCACCCAGGCTCCAGCACTAGTTTGCAGCTAGAGATTTCAATGTGTGGGAGGAAGGTGTAAAAAAATAATTTGTTCTATTATCACCTCCTTTGGTTTCCCACTTGGAGTCACTGGATTTCATAAGTAATGGTGGCTCTGCTCCTCGTAGTGCTGCAGAAGCAAGGTTGCCCTTTTTACCTGTTGACGCAAATAAGCCCCGGAAATGACTGTGCTGAGGGAGAGGTTTGCGTAAGGAAAAAGGTGTGCTACTGCAGCTCTCTCAAATAGAACTCACCAGCTGTCTCTCCCTCCCAGGGTTGGTTTACCTAAGGAGAGAGCTACCTATGAAATGGTGACGCTAAAATGCGTCACAGGCCATTCTCCAAGGCAGCTGTGGACACCCAGGCAAACGGCAATAGCCAAGGGCTCTGATCGTTAAGTGGGCAGATGTCTGATATGCCCCTTTCAAAGGCTACAGAGGATGCCTGTCATACACAACCCCTGGGCAGAATGTCACTGTCTATTATTCAAGCAATGGAAGATACGGCATAGGAAAGAGGCCAGAACTTTTAAGTGAAGACCACATAGCTCATTGCCCAAACTACATTGCAGAATCAGGCAAGTTACAAAATAGTGATCCTCCCTGGAAGACATTAATGCAGATAATTTTGTTGAGATGCCATTAATGGGAATTGTGTACATATTCCAAGGTAATTATTAGGGGGTTCACCCACAGTCTAATTGGATCATGACCTACTTTTTCATTGAGTTAGGATCTACATACTTTAGTTGGTTGGTTCTGTGTCCAGCATTAAATTCAATGCTTTAAATGTTTAAGTTAAAAGTGTCTCTCTTTGTTCTCAAAGTCTCCAAATGGCCCCTCATCATTATGCCCTTGAAGGGAAATCCAATAATTGCCATCGGCAGGGCAGTCTGACTCAGGGAAGTGCAGGCACAGGCAAGCGTAGGCTGGAGGAGCTCTTTGAGTGCACAGCCTTCCCGAGCTGCTTAATCTGACTCTGAGGAGTTCACCTCAGGGGAAAGTAAGTCTGTTATTTTCCTGCAGGTTGTCTGTTCTTAGGAGACACTGCTGGTGTAGACTCTGTATTTTTATCATTTGCTAAAGGGCAAGTCAGACTATATCCCTGCTATTAAAGTATCAGCAAGTACAAGGGTGATAAAGCCTACAACCCTGAAATCTCCTTTTAGACTGTTTCCAGGGAGGCATCAGATAAGCAGAAAAGACATTTGGAGTCTTGGCTGTGTGTAATGATAGGTTTGGTGGCTTCTCAGGGCTAAGTTTAAAAATGACAGAGAGGGAAGACCGTCACTGCAGAAGGATCATTATGCCTGTGGAGAAAGCATCCCAATCTATGCCAGCCTTTCAAGTGAGTAAGCATGAGTCTCCCTGATGGAGACGTCAAGCTGAAGCAAATCAGCTCCACCAAAGGTCAGTTAGGAGGGTCATTCTGGATGCAAACTATCCTCTCCTAGCTAGGCAGAGAGAGTTAGACAAAAGGAACATACGATTCGCTGGTCAGTGTAATCCCCGCTGCTGTAAGAGGTGGCCAGTGTGGAGGAGCACTTCTCGGCATACCAAGGTGACAGGCCTTGCTGGGAGGCACTGCTGATGGAGATGGTGTAGATGCTGTCCGTGTAGCCATCGCAGTCACAGTTATCTCCCTGACGCCCCCCATTTCCAGAAGCCCAGACAAAGATGGAGCCCTTTCCTTGTCTCCCCTAAAGAAAAAGCCAAAATGTATAGCATCGATTACCATCTATTAGAGTCCTGTTAAACCTCAATAAAGTCCCCAACAAAGACATGCTTGAGGTTCTCAGAGAGAGTTATTTGGGGTCTGTCCTTAGCTCTGTGTCCTCTAGCATCAACACTGGGAATCTGGGGAAATGTGTACCTCCAGCTGCTAGACTGTGGCCCTCTGCTGGCCTCCTTATATCTGAGCTCTCTCTGGGGTGGGGCTGAGAAAACAGTTTTCTTTCTTCCTGTTCTTTATTATGCAGACTCGTAATCTCGCTGTTAGCACTTAAGCATAATTTTTTTCACTCTTCTCTTGGCTTATGTCACTACCCTTGAATCTCGGAACTTCCTCTTTCTTTCTGCATGAATCTTCTGGCTGGCTGATAGAACAACAAAATCAGGCATTATTCAGAGCTGCCTTGCAGCTGCATTTAAAGGGACTCTTCAATTGAATGGAACTCGTCAAGGCCACCCTTTCTATGATTTTTCAATGTATGCTCTCCAAAGTTTCTACTTTCGTCTCATCCTGTGAAGTGTGAGGCCTTGTGATCTGTGCAAAGATGCAGTAAGCCCTAGTGACTGAGCAGCAGCAGAGGCACCAGTATTCCCCAGGCACATGCAGAGCGGTGGGCAGCTCACTGCTGTATTCACGAGCCTAAGTATCATATGGTTTTCCTTACATGAGACACCTAAAGGATAAGCACATTAAAGAGCACAATAAAAGATAGATACTAGGATTCAGGGAGATAAACCTTTCCTTGGGAAGGGGACCGAGGGCTAGAGGGAGAGGGGGCAGAAGGAAGGGTAAGGAGTTGTCAAAAGAATTAAGATGTGTTATATTCATGCACCAACTCCCACAATGAATGTAACCATTGTATATTGCAAACTTGTAAGAATAAAAATAAAAATTTTTAGAAGGATGCATTTCCAGAGCAACCGGAAGTAGTCTGGGCAGTAGTTTACCTAGTATAAAACCCCCAAAGCTGGTGAAAAATGATAAAGGAAGAAGAAACATGTAGAAGTATTTTAAGCTAAATATCTGTCTTCAGTATTAGACTCAAACAGGACAATCCTCTTAATCTTGAACTTCTGTCCCTCTGAAGAATGATTTGGCTCCCTGAGAGCATTTAAAATTCTGAATGGCTTTGTCAAGGAATTTATCACCATTTCTTCCCGTGTAACATAAGTGACCTTCCCTTCATCTCCTATCCTAATTTTTAGGTTTCATCTCATGGGAGTCTGTGTTAAGCATCTCACCTGTTTGACACCATATTCAAAAGCCTTCTGAGCTAGTCTGCCAGGCCCCTCCACAGTCTTCCCATCATCGTTAGGGCCCCAACTTGCACTGTAAATGTCAACATGTCCAGGGTTGAATCCAATGGAACTGGCCTCGATAGCATCTGTCACTATGCCATCTAACATCCTTATGCCTGGGCAGCAAAACAACAAAAGAAACCAACAGGGAGGCTGACGTCAGTGTGTACATATAGAAAAGCAAATGCTCTTAATACTCATATTTTTTAAAGGACTTCACGAGTCAAAGGGAGGGTAACCCTGGATGCCTCCAATGCCTGTGACCAACTGCTAACAGCACAATCCGTGCCCTTGTAAACTTTCTTGTCTGCCCTTTAGAGATAATACTGTGCACTAGGGCAGCTGTGAATTATTGGTTCCACTCAAGACTCGGTTCCCAGTAATATCCCTGAGGATGAAAGGGAGTAGCATCCTTGGATAAGAGGAAGTGGCCATGGTGCTGTCAATTACAAATGTGTTCACTCTCCACTGCCCCAACAAAGTGACAGAATAGCTTTCAGAAATATCTACCCAACAGCCCCTCAGTGCACCTGTTCATGATGACAGTACCACAATCAGCTGTGGCCTGGTCTGTGCCATATAAAGGACCCCCCAGGGGAAACCGTGCTGCTTGAAAAAATCTATCCCCAATAAGAAACTAACAAGCAGAGAAAGAACCTTTGTTTCTAAGCACGGATTAAAAATAACCCAGGGGCCATTCTTTTATATATTTGCTAAGAAACATTTTCAAGGAACATGCTCCTTTTCTTCTAAATTATCTCAAGATGAAATCATTGCCATGGACTTCACTCCTTGAGGGGGAATCATTTTTCATCAGGAGAAGGCAGATGTGGCAGCCCTTTGTGCTTTCCAACAGGCTGTCACCGAGCATCAGACTCATGAATTCAAGAGCCAGGAAGGGAAAGCAATTTGGATCGTACAGGCAGCTACCTGGTTATTCCCAGCTTCAGGCTAATAATGCAGTAGAGTGCATGGCCTTAGATTTTCACACTATTATTCACCATGGGGCAAAGATAAGAGAATGTGTAACTGGTATGTTCAGTGAAAGACATAACTGTTTAAAAAAAAAGAGAGTAGTTTAAAAATGTGTTTGGAAGGGAAAAAAATCCCAGCTCTACTTTTTAATAGCGGTTGTGATCTTAAGCAAGACACAAAACCTCTCTGTGCCTCAGTTTCCTCAAGTGGATGATTATAACTGCTCCTGTGGCACTGAGGATATTTCATAGGCATTGAACATAGGAACTCATCTGCCATTTGAGGTGGGTGCTGTGATTCTCTACATGTCACAGGTGGAGAGACGGAGGCTAGAGAGACAGAGTGACTTGTCCAAAACCACACAGCTCGAAAGTGGGGGCCTGGATTTGAACCCTAAAAAACTGGCCCTCAAATATATCCTGTTAACCACAGGGTACTCTGCCTATATTGTATTGTAGGGTGAGTGATATACAGACGGGACCTATGAATGGAAATTAGTATTCAAATTGGTTCTAGAACATTACAGGGTAGAATAATAAAAACACCAGCAGGCTTAGGATCGGAGGTCTTGTGTTTCACTTCTACGCTGCCATGAACTAGCTTTTGTTACCTTAAGAAACTTGCTTATGATTCTTCCTCCGAAAACTGAAAATCAGATGATTCTGCCTTAAACAAGCTGTTAAGTTCATTGAGATTTAAAAAGTGAAATCTTTTTCCAGTTGTTTACATAATTTGTGCTTCTGCCTTCATTTTCTTTAAATTAGCACAGCAGTTTGAGTATTATGGTGTCAAACTAATAAAGAATGGTACATAAAGTGGGCATGGTGGTGCATGCTTGCAATCCCAGCACTCGGGGAGGCTGAAGCAACAGGACCTCAAGTTTGGGCCTATCCTGGGCAGCTTAGAAAGGCCTTGTCTCAGAGTGAAAAGTGGAAAAGGGTAGGGACGTAGCTTAGTCCAAAGGCGCTGGGTTCATTCCACAGTACCACACACATGCAAAAAGGTACTGAAAATCTAAGGGTCTCCTGTATCAGTCTTGCCAGGATGTGCATTTACTTGGTTTCAAATTCAAAGTACATTCATGTGAAACGTGAAGAGGTTTTGCTCTAATTGATATGCTCCCTAAATAAGCTTTTTCTAGTAATTAATATTTCTCAAAATATTTTCTCAAAATCAAACTAAACTCAAAGTTGATTGTACAACCGTGAGAGGCTGAGGTAGAAACAGTATAAAGAGGAGAAACAATTCTTGTCTTTCTACTGGCCCCTGCAGTCACCCTCCACCCTTCTGTGTTGGAGCCTGGTTGTGTCATTGGACGCCCTTGCCTCTCCCTGCAGCCACCCAAAGATGCCATCAGGAGGGTGGGGTGAGAGAGAGTGAGGTCCTTCCCCTGGACCCTCCCGCCTGGAAGGAGCTCTGTTGTGTGCAAGGCCACAGCTCCCACCCAGTGGCTCTCTCTGTGGCCAGAGCTTTCTCTCTCTACTTTCTTTCTTCCTTTGCTTCTTTGGTAGCAAGGTGGCAATATCTGCAAACTTTCAGCAGTCCCTATTGGTTTACCCTAAGCCTTATAAAATTTTTTTTGTTAAAATGTCCTTAATTGCCTTGTGGGAACTTTAAAAAAGAATCTGTTCTTTGCAAAGAAATGAAGAACTACAGAGTTGAGAGGCAGGGAAAGTTTACCTAAATAACCTCCTCCTTCTGTTCCCTTCACAAGCGTTCAATAACAGCCCTTCCTACACCAGAGCACAGAGAAAATTAGATTTTGCTCAAATGCTGTTCAGCTATCCATTTTCTCGTAGTCTAGATCCATCAATTGGCTCACAAACCACACTTGAATCCTGTAGTGAGTTCTTCATGGAACTAATTTCCCCCTTAGGTTGTTGAAAAGTCCCCTCCCCTACTTATAATGGGTGACACAAGGCTCAAATTAAAGTGCCAAACTACAGGAATAACCCCTTGTTTACCTCCGACTTTGGAATTGTATGCCACTCCAACCCCACACTTGCGATTATTTGCTTGCATGGCAATTTCTCCTGCACATCTGGTCCCATGTCTGTGGATTAAAAAGCATTAGTTATAAAATATAAATAGGGAACCAACATTTGTTTTGCATATGAATCCATGGTGTATGGTATATTACCTTTTTGTTGGCTTTGTTACTGGCTTTCTTACTATTGGTATGAAATAAAATTTATTTTCTGATGAAGGACATAGGTAACTACAGTACAGTATGTGAGTTGAAATTCTGGCTTCTACTATTAACTAGTGTGACCTGGGGTCTGTTCCTTATCATCTAAAGGTTGTGAAGGTCACATGAGGTATCTCTGTAGAGCACTTAGAACTATGGCTGACATGTGCTGGGAACCTGGTGTGTGTCAGCCTTGGATACTATGAAGAGAACTCTGACACTCGGGAAAAATGTCACAGATGTGGCTTCTCCTTCTTACTTTTTTGGTAATGAAATGTTTCCTTACTTTCCTGTCTAATGACCTTGGACTAGTTCCCTGGATTAGACTATCCCGTACCAGCCCTGCAAAATACAATAGAACAGAACCTTTTCATAAGGCTCCCTTCTCTCCTCTAAATATACATCACATTAAGATGTCTGAGGATTTTTGGTACCAAGAGGAGTCTGAGATTTTCTCAGGACATTACAGACTAATTGAAAAGCAACATGCTCCCACAGCTCTGACTGAGGCCAGAAGCCTGAATAAGATTGGCTTTGTAGTCAGGCAAAGAGACGATAATTCAGAGTATTTGGTGGGGCAGGATTCTTCTCTAAAACACACTCAATTCTATCACTAAGGCAATAGTTCTGAAATTCTGGGCAGAATAGTCTTTTCCCACCATCAGCTTGACTTAGGAGGTCCAACAAGTCCAGAGCATGTTAATGTGAACCCATTGCATGGATTTATCCCACTGTGGAAACACTAGGAGTAGTGTGAAAGCTACTGGTGGAGCCAGTGACCCAATATGTTTCCACAGAGAAGAGAGCAACAATACGAGCCAGCTACTTTCAGCCAACACTACACTGGCCATCTATTAATTAAACCTGGCCAGGAATATAAAATACCCAAATTGACTGAACCACCCAAAATTATTCTAAATTATCTTTTATTCTGAAATCCCAAAGATGATTTCTTGGTCTCCTTCCACTTAGCGCTATTCCTGCTTCTTCATGTTAACAGAAGATAGGAATTCTAAGTCAGAACGATATCATTTTCTTTAATTCAGGTTTTTCCTAATGTGGCAGACATATGGTGCTTTTTGTATGCTAGTATTTTTCCCTGTGAGAAAACCATCTGCCCTGACTCCATGCGATTCTCTCAGTGATGGGGCCCTTCTACTCAGATGATTTTCAAGAACTGATGCTGATTCTGGAATAGAGAACTGTGTTCTTTCTTGGGACTCTTAAGTCTTAAGTTCCAGATAAGCCATATGGATCTTGCTGCCAATAAGACTCCATGGAGAACAAAGTGTAGGTGAACAGCACTGGAAGACAGGCACAGTGTTTGGTTTTCAGGAGACTACTGATTTTCATTTGAATTTTGAAGAATTGGGTGAAAACAATATTTCTATCTCTATTTCACTTAATCTTTGAATTAGGATTCTTTCCCTGGCAACTGAAGCTGTACTGGCTATTAACTGGAAAATATGTGCACATCTGCGCATAGAGAAGGTACCCTATGCCTTGTTGGTAGATGAGCTGTTTGCCTTTATAGAAGGAGAATTTCAGTTGTCATCCTCTGAGAAATGTGCTTCCAAAAGTCTGCCTATCTTTCCATTTATACATGATGAGACACAGTCCCTCACTTGAAGCAAGAGACACTGCCTGTTGATAAACATCCCTAACATGGTGCCCCTGTGCAAAAGTCGTGTAACATGACACCATCCACTACTTATCTTTCTGTGCTGAGTGCTGACTTCAACAGTGAAAGAAGCAGGAGGGTCATGGTGCAAACATGGCTGCATTTTGCCTCTCCTCTTATCTTTCCTCCCTACCTCCACACACTGAGAAGAGGACCTCATCAAAGTGTGTCTACGTCATCCTACACAGACCTGCAGCTCTTGTTCTTTCCTACGGTAGGCAGACAGATAAAAGATTCCTCTATTAACTTAGAACAATGGCAGTAACTGGCATTTAAACAAATTGGTTAAAAAAAAACCTATTCCACAAAATAGTTTAGACTACTATTATTTTGGTTAAAATATCCTTGTCACATGTGTTATTTAACTAGAAAAATAATCTGTAATTGGTGTTGAAATACTGAATGCAGATTCATGCCAGCTTAATAGTAAGAGTTATTTGCACTTTTATGATTTTATTATTTAGTGATTACTCTTTTGATTTGCAGAGGAACATTTAAATGTGGCTTCTATTAGTCTCATTTACATGTTGATAAAGAACTGAGGCAACAGAGATAGTGTGAAGAGATAATGCCCTTGGAATTGGGAGATAATATGTCTCCAATTGCTATCAGGGCTAACAAAATGTGGCCTTTCACTTTCCAAATCTAAGGAATTTGTGTCTGACAACATGCTAGAATGATAACTCTATTTTTTATTATATCTTCTGATAAATGATAGGTTGACTCTGATAGTTGGCTGACAGACAGAAAGACTCTAAAAGTTTCTCATTGTGTCATTTTTGAGTAAGAGATTGTGAATTGGCTCAGAAAACTGATGCACCTCTGCTTATGCTCCTGTCAGATAATAGTATTCTTGTCATGCTGATTTTTCACTGAAGGTCTACCCCAGGGGGTATATGATAAACCTTGATCCTCCTCCTCCTCCTCCTCCTCCTCCTCCTCCTCCTCCTCTTCATCACCATCACTTTAGCAAATAATTACTTAACATTTTTTATGTACCAGGCAATGTCCAAGAAATGTATATACATAAACCTATGTGAAATCCCATAATAATCCAATAAAGTAGATTTTTCCCTTTTCAAAAGATGTTAAAACCTGGGCACAAAGAAACTAAATAATTTGTTTAAACTATTAGGTGGAAGACCTAACATTTTATCTAAGTCTGGCTCCTGTCTCTCTTAGCTGTTGGGCCATGCCATGTTACCCTATGCAGCTGGTGGCGGACCTATGGCACTCATGCCACAGCAGGCTGTTTGAATCATTGAAAACTCTAAAAGGTTCACCACCACTGCCCTGTGCCATATGGGTAGTCTATGCCAGGAAAAACTCCAGAAGCTCAGAATTTTCAGGCACAAAATAATTAACATTAGATGGGGGCTCTGGAGAGCTCCCAGAACTGAGGAAAATGTAACATCTATAAATGGTATACTGTGAGATTTTTCCTTTTGGGTAGCAGGGAGAAGATCTGTTATAGTTCAGATCTGGACTCCCCCTGAAGGCTCATGTGCTAAGGGCTTGATCTCCAGCTTGGTGCCATTGGAAAACAGTGGAACCTTTAAGCAGTGAGGTCTATGGGAAGCTTTAGATTATTGGGGGAGTGCCCTTGAAGGAGTCTCTTCCTCTTTGCTTCTTGCCACCATGAAGTGAACATCTTGCTCTACCATGCACTCCCAACCACGACCTGCTACCTCACCAGGGTGCCAAAGCAACAAAGCTTACTCACCATGGACTAAAACCTTTAAAACGGTGAGCCAAAATAAACCTTTCCTTTTTTAAAAGTTTATTTATCTCAGGTATTTGTTACAGTAATGCTAAGCTAAGTTCTCCTTCTCATGATCAGAGAATCTCCAGAGAGTATCATTTTACCAAGTGTTCACCTATTATGTGGCCACTGCACAAGTTATCACCCACAGTGGGTCCTGGCGCTGGACCCAGGATCTGCCTAGGAAGGAGTTGGACTGCCTGAGAGACAGGCTGATGCCTCCATCCTCCTCTGCTGTACCTCATGGGTACAAGAGATTTCCCTCTTAGTTTTAATAAGGGTTGGAACAAAAGTTGTTGTTTTTACACTGTTCTAAGAAGGGCATCCCTATCTTCCAAGTACTTACTGCCCCATTTCCTCAGGGAGTTCCTTTAGGAAATGTAAGAAGCAAGTGCCTTATCACTCCTTTTAGAGGACAAAAACCAAACAAACAAAGTAGAGTCAGAGAGAAGCAAGTGATTTACTCAATATCACTCTCTCTATTGGTAAATGGCAAAGCCACAACCACCAGCCAGGGTGACATTACAGGGCTGTGCTTCAAAGAAGTAGATGTTCTTGCTGGTCATGCAGTATCCTGACCCAGAAATATGGCTCAAAGTTTGTCCCTGTTATCACCTGGCACACGCCCACTTTGCTCCAAGAGTGCCCCAGCAGCAGTCCCTGCTGTATTGTTACAGAATGTTCTAACTTCTGAGGCTCGTTTGTGGTTAACCTCCTCACTCAAACTCTTGAAGATATAAATGAGACTGAAAGTAGTATTGTTGAAACTTCTATAGTTCACCCCTTCTCAATTAAGGAAAAAATATACACGCAGAACTTGGGGTCAAGTCTGTGTGCTCCAGTATCCCTGGGTTGTGCTGGCCTTCTGGAGAGGGATCATCCAAGGAAAGGAATAAGACTAAGTCAGTATTACTGTATCAGTCCCATGGGAGGAGAGACATAAAGAGAAACGTGAGTGACCTAAGTTGGTTAACAGTCCAAGAGACAGCCATCCAGAAAGAAAAGGGAAGCACTTTATGCTTCATGCAACATCCACCAACAGCTTTTTAGATGCTTCACTCTTTTCATCCCTATTTATAGCAAAAAGGCCTGGTTTGGACATTGGATTTGATTTGTTTTGGTGCAGTTTCTTCTGGGTGGAGAAAATGAACAGGACATTTGAATGTCTCCTTGAGATTTGTGATAGATATCAGTATGAACAAAGATGAGTTCTCACATGGGGATGGACACTTTGAGGCCATGAGCGTGGAGCATGAAGTTTGTTTGGTGCTAGGAGAGAAGGTTAGGAGTCTCTAGCTTCTGGGTCTCTCTTTGGCCTCTTTCCTTAGAAGGTCTAGGTCTTGGCCTCTGTTATCACCCATGACTGCAACAGGAAGATGTTGATCTAAGTTAGATGTTGTCTCGTTTCTCTTTCCTTGGCTTCACACCTCTCATGAACTACAGCACAGGATGGTGCACTTCAAAGCTCTGGAGGATGTGTTGGGCTTGGAAGCCAGGCCTCAGCTGAATTTTTATGTAGTGTCTGGTCGTGTCCTTTTTGGGAAACTAGTCAAAGTTGTGACCACCATAGAAGGTTGTAGAATTTATTCCCATGTATTTTCTTATATATATTTCTTTTCATGACTAACATCAATCATGTTGCTAATAATACAAAATTCATGGAGGAATTGGTGAAAGGGAAACTCAATATTTATACTTTTTATGACCCAAATGTTCTTTCAAAAGCTATAAGTAGTCAGTAACACTTGAAAGAAGAATTTAATAATATAAGAAGGAGAATTTCATAATTTAAGAAGTTTAATTTTCAAAATATGAGACTAAAACCCAAAAAGAATATAGAAACCAAAACTTCTGTTTCTGTTTTAAAGGCATCAAAACATTGTGGTATGGACGGTATATGGCAACATTTTCTGAGAGCTGAAATATGGGCCAAATTTACAGTGTAATTCTCTCAAACCATATAAAAACATTTTAAAATTACTTTATGCCTACAAAATGCACATTTACTCACTTGTTCTCATTTGTGGGATCATATCGGGGAAACGGATCATGATCATTGTCATTAAAATCATAGCTAGCCTCTGGATCCTAAAGACACAACAGAAATAACACTGTCACATCATAAAAAAGCAGCACTTTCCCCTTTTTACCACTGCCTCTTCCCATCCTGGTAGGTAGCTCAAAAGCTTGCATTTCTGAGTTTCTAGGGTAGTTACTGAACATTTATTGTACACAAAAAGCAGGCAGCAAAGGTGAGCACAACAAAGTAAAACAGAAAAACATCAGAGTTTACTGGGTTCAATCACTTCATTTTTCAAATGAGTTTAAGTGAGGCTCGGCGAAACTGAATGAATTAGCTAAAAATGTAGAGGTAATTACTGACCCTTTGATATTTATCTCTCTTAAGACTCTATATGCCGAGAAATACCTGTAGGGTGGGGCTCCTCAGGTAAACTAAAAATGTAATTTGATTAAAGAGAATGTATTTGAAATTACTGCCAAGCTTTCAGATACCACACTATTTTCTGAACAAATTGCTACACTCAAAAAATCTCCCACATAGTAGTTCTATCATCACTAGTGTTTGTACTTCTTATAATATCTTTCTTAATTATACTTATAATTTTCCATGTCTTTCAATAAGTCCTGTTTTCTATCTTGTACTAGTTTTTTTTCGTCTTTCTTTTCCTTCAAGTTTTCTTCACTCTTCAGCTTTGAGTTGTGGCTGAGGAATATTGTATGGGTGAAAAGGATGAGAGTGAGATAAAGGAAAACCCTACTGATGAAAACCTCATTACTCTGACATAAACACCTAAGATAAATCACAGAGCTCATGTTACATTACGAACTTCATAAACAATTAAGCCCAGTTTTCAATGATTTATTTTTTCATTTCTAATAAATGTTTTCTTTCTTCAGCTTGGCATTTTTCCGCTCTGTGGTGTTCACTTTGAATTTGCATGGAAGGAGTAACATTCACATAATGTCACAATGTCAGAGGCACTGACTCATGAGAGATGTGAGAAGAAGACAGGGAAAATGACCTCAGACTTCAGCCTTGATTTGATTGTTTTACTGCCCTAATCACTGAGTGGTTCACAGTCCAAGTGGCTTTTAATCATTTAATTCATGTGAGTAACCACTCCCCCACCTTTCCCAACACACATGAAGTTAAGGATTTGTATAATTCTTAACCTCATCCAATTCTTCCAGTGTCCACTGGTACAAAAAAAGTTCATATTGACTGACAGGAGGGTAAAAAATGGGCTAAAGCGTTGGCTTACTGTGCCAGGGCTGACATCGAAGCAGAATCCCCTTTACAGGGAAGAAAAGCTCTACATGTCTGCATAGACAGCTCCTTAAGTCAGTCCCAAGACAGCCCAGACTCACATAATTGGCATAAATGTCTGTGTGATTCCACTCCAAGCCATCATCCAATATGGTGAGAACAACTCCTTTGCCTGTGATGCCTTTTTCCCAAACAGGTATCACATGGAGATCCAGCTTGGGCAAGGCTGCAGTCATCCTGGTATCTTGCTGGTAAAGAAAGACAAACAAGAGTTGGTAAAATCATGATTTTCTTGCCACATAATAGGATATTAAGCTCCAACCTATAGCCCCTTGTTTTAACCCCCTTGGGTCACTGTACTATTTAGAAGAAGGCAATTAGGTGAAATGAAATAAAAGTTGAGGGTAGGGCGAAATGAATCACAGAGTTCTGTTCTTTTCCCAATTGTCCCAATGGAAAATCACTTGAAGGATGAATCATTCCAGGCCTCTTCTCTTTGAACTACATGGATTAAAAGAAGTTTGTCTCTATGTTTCTTTCATTTGTGATAACATGCTCAGCTTTTCATCTGTTGAAGCTTTATTTGATGCTCTATGTTTTCATCTTCCCCAAAGTCCTCAGCCTCTATTGCTATGTGGAGCACTCATTACATCTTCTGATGCACAATCATTTATAGTTGTTTTGTAACTTTTCTCCTAGAAGAAAAATCAGAACCTAGAATGCTGAGGTGATTATGGTCTCATCCAGAATTTTGATTTTTAATGTTTACTATTTTATTACACAGTATATTCCACAGAATACAGATGAAAAGCTATATAGGGTGAGGAATGTGCACAGCATTCATGCCCTCTGGTCATGAGCCTCTCTCTGGGAAACCAGCATGTGTTCAAATATCCTGGAAGCTTTCTGGTTTTATGGCAATTTGTTGCATAAGCATAGTGGCTGGGGTGAGGAGATCCAGAAAGGCCTGTCAGTTTAGTTTTGTCTTCGAGGAACTGCAGCCTAATTGCCTATTTCCTTGCATGGGTGATTGAGGGAGTGTCTGAGAGAGGAGATTGCGGGTTTTCCTTTGCGGATAAGTTTTCTGATATAGTTACAGTGTGTGGGACTGTACAGAAGAAGAGCTGGGCCACAAGGAAACACAGATACAGGCAATTTCCAAGCATACAGGAGATGTAATAGAGTGCCAGTTACTGAGCGAGGGGGTCAAAGAGAAATTTAGAAGTAACCACAATCACCAAATGTACTGTCCCTCATTGATATTCCTCATAAAAAGGTGGGGAGTGGGCAAGAGTTTACCAAGCCACCATGAAGTTGAATCACAAGAGGTTAGAACCACATTTAAATTGTTGGCCAAGAACAAGGCCTTTGTGTTAATTGCAGAGCAGTTATAAAGGTTGTTAACATGTTCCCACCAGCTTGAACCATGTTGATACATGCATGACTGTCCCATCTGGTGAAAACCAAATGAGTTAATTCATAGGAACACTTCCTACAGTGTTTGGCACATAATATATGTTCAACAAGTGTTAGCTGATAAATGTTTTCTGCTGCAATGAGCAAGCAATTATTGCTTAGTTTAGGAGAAGGACAAGAGGAATGATCCTCTTGGATAGGAACCAATCTCCTTTCCCACCCATTATGCAATGAAACTGTCTGAGCCTTTGGTTATGGTTGTCATGGTAATTTATCTTTTATTAAATTTTTATTATTTTTATTAAATTTCTCAGCAGCAAATCCTTCTATTAACATGTATTGCTACCAGAGAGTCTTAACACTGAAACAGAAACAGGCCTGCAACAACACTTACAATTTCTTGGTTCAGTGCCCACATGCCAACAAAGGTTTGGTAAATATTTAAAGATAGGATAGTTTGCAAGTCTAGACATCTGCCAATAGACTTACTTTGTGTGACTTCCTTTAGCTTTATTCAGAAATTCTTGCCTGTACCACGTAAGATTGGCACCAGGGCTGCATGTACTCTGAATGATTTAGAAGGTTCTCAAGAGTAAATTTAACCAAAAGTGATTTTTACTGAGAATACTGCTTTTGGAATTTCTAAACTGGTAAAATTCTTTTGCACTTATCTCAGATAAGCCTAAGAAGTAAAAGGACAAACAACAAAAAGCAAAACAAAGAAGCAACAAGACCCCGCTTTGTAACAGATAAAGACCTATTTCAGGCACCTTCAGCCAAGCGCTCCCCCCCCAAATCCAGATCAAGAAAGTCCTGCCAGTCCTAATTTCTAGATAATCTGTCACTGTACTCTGCTGAATGGAAAGGAGATAGACAGGGAAAGGGAAAGGGAGAAGGAGAGGGGGTGGAAGGAGAGGTTGAGAGTGATTGAGGGATTATGAGAGAAACAGATTAAGAGAGAGATATTGGGAGACAGAGATAGAGATGGAGAGAGACAGAGACTGGGACACAGAGAGAGAGAGGGAGGGAGGGAGGGAGAGAGAGAGATCTATCATTGTGCAGATGATGTAATGATATAAGGAACCCAGGTCCAAGTTGCACACACTTCTTGCAGATACTTACCAAGTACCACTGCTGATTCCACATTGGATCATTGAAGAGATTTAGTGCTGAGTCTCTTAGAGCTGAGCGTTTGCTTCTCTTTTTTTCATACTGTTGTTCAGCCCATATCACCTATAAAGATTTTCAACACAAGAAAATCAAAAGCCAAGTAGCTCTCTTGATGCCATCATTTCCTTCTCTCTAATCCCAGTACCCTTGCCATCAGAACTCAGGCAGCTCCACAATATTATTGTTTGACCACAGATCAAACTGGGAGCTGAGTGAGAAGAAGGGATTGCCCAGGGGGTAGATGAGCATTTTCTTTATTACAGTAAACTGTATCCTTAGGGGGAGGAGAAGCAGCCAGGGCAGTGTCGATTCCCTCAAATTATTTACACGGTGGTTTCAGTGGAAGTAAAAGTTAAGCCTGCTTTCATCAGAAAATGGACCATCATATCCATTTTTATCCTGAATATGCAGAGCCCTACAGCTGAAAATTTGTCTGTTTTCATGGGACAAGTCAACAAGCTAAGAGACCACAGAGACTGCTGTTACGGTGTTCAAATGGCTTAATTTCTCTTTCTTTACATGGAAAAGGTAGAAACTGCAAATGTTACACCAGCCAGGAATGCTGCTGTGTCTTTGCAAATTCAGAACTCTGGCTCCTCTGTGACTTAGCTTCCTGCCGCAGAGTATTTAATATGAGGAACATATAGGGGTGATAAATGTGCATTACTGACCAGGCACATTTACCATCAATTCAGCCTCATGTATTATGCAAAGAGATCTGACAACATGAAAATTACCTGGCCTACATTTATGGCATAATCCTATTAGACTGAAGGCCCTGTGAGAGCGAGGGGCTTCTTTATAGTCAAACCATTATGAAACAATGTTGTGCTCTTATTTTTCTGGGTAACATGACTATTTCCTATCTAAGATTCAGTTTTGTTTTGTTTATTTTGCATATGTGATAAGGGTTTAGGGCAAGGACAAGAAATGCTGTTGATGTGAGCATTCCCATGAGTCATATCCAAAATTAAAAACTGGAAAAATAATTCACAGCTAAGGGATCAAAACTATCCACTAAGACTGTCATGAATTTTCAATTAGAAAATATAATGTAAACCTATTATAAACACTGGGAGGGGCTTGAGAGCTAGCAATTAGTCCTGTAATTTATTTTTAAAGTGCTTGTATTTTTACGCTTAATTGTTTTGGCTTAAAATACCTCAATGCTAGGAATATACTGCCAGTCATGTAAGTTGGTTTTTGGAAACTGGCTGTTAGGGAGCTAATCTTTGTGGGAGAGGGTCATTTAGAGTTGGAGATTTCATTAGCAGTCTTGTGAAGATAGACTATTGCTCCATTTCACAGGGCTGATTTGAAAGAATATTATCCCCTATCAAAAATGAGCAATAAAATGAAAATTGAGAGCATTTTAAAAAATGGAATATAAAAAGAGATGCTCTGCCATCTGATCAGATAAACATCCAATTGTAGGAAACAATGTTATGATTAATGTCATTAATTCAGAATTGCATACTAATTTCTGAAAGATAAGACCAAGTGGAATAGAGAAAATTGATGGTATTTTCTAATTATGTATAGAATAGGTATCATGTACTTGATCATAAATAATACCTTTCAGCTGTAAATCACATTAAAAATCATCTAGTCCAACCTTCCACTGAAGCTTCAATGATTTCAGTGTTTTTCCTAAAATAAAATTATTTGGGGGCTAATTTTTCATATGACTACGTAAACTAACTTTTATGAAATAATCTTGGAAAGTAAATGCTTAGCTTTTAAAATAATGCCATGGGATTCCCCTCAAAATTAACTATCAAAGAGATAACCAAAGAGCAGAACTGGGCTATCCATTCATTTTCATGAGATACCTTGAGTAAAGAGAATAGTTAGGTACACTCTACTCTGTCCAACTTCTCCTATGCAGGTGGCAAGGAGGTCAAGTGTGGCTTCCTTGTACATTAATACTGGGCACTCATTTAGTCAGAGAAGGAAATGTCTCTCTTGCCTTCCCCAAGGAATAAGGGTAGCCAGAGTGCTGGAAGGTATCCTGCTTCTCATGGGCTACATACAATGAGCCATCTGCCTTTGTTTGAGCAAAGGAAAATTCTCACTGGCTAAGAAGACTTTTAAAACAAGCGTCATGGCCTCTGACTTGGAGTCCTATATGTAGACCTAATTGGGCCCAAAGAGCTCAGGATTGCACAAGTTATGGGTTCCCTGTCCATGGTCCTGATGCATCAACGTTTGTCAGTGTGGTTGGTTCATATACGATTGAACACTGGTGACCACCTCCCAGTCATTTGCTATCCTCAAATTGTCTTTCTCTTATTTTTAAAGTTTTGCCAGTTGGGGAACACATAAAACAATAAACTATATCAAAGACTTCATAAATTCCATGTACTTTCAAATGTTATATCACGTTTTTGTCACTTATTCTCCCCCACCCTCTGAGAAGTTGATAGGATGGTCTGTATTTCTCACTATAATATTCCAGGTTGCCCTAGGCAACAGAAACCATGTACACAAATATTGCTCCAACCTGGATAAATTTCTCCCAGTATAGCATAGTCTTGAGAAAAGTCAACAATACATAGGCAAACTTCTACACTACTAATGTAGTCAACATATTCTTTTAATATATTTGCTGACTTTGAAAAGTCGATGGGTATATTAAATATATATCCAAATTATCTCCACTCTATTTGCATATATTCACTCTAGACATTTCCTACTTTTGTCTAATTATGAATTGGTATACAAACCAGGATGAAAAGAGATAAAATGGTTTGAATCAAACAGTACAATGCTTTTGGAAACATTGACCTCATAAAGACATGAATTTAGAACTCTCTCATAAATACTAACATATTTCTGGTAGTGTAAGTGGCAGGATGTTTTTCAGTTACACTGAAATGTTATCAAAAGCAAAGTCATATTTATTTGGCACCCGACATTGGTATTGAAGTGCTTGGTATGTAACAAGAACATAATAAAAGATTACTGAAGCCAGGTATGGTGGCTCATGCCTGTAAATCCCAGGACACTGGGGGGGGGGCAAGACAAGAAAGTTCCAAGTTCAAGCCCAGCCTGGGCAGCTTAACAACTTAGCAAGACCCTGTCTCAAAATTTGAAAAATAAAATAATATGGTTGGAGGATAGAGCTTTGTGTTAAGGTCCTGTGTTCAATCCCCAGTACTCCCCCACAAAAAAAGATTATTGATTTTATTGTCAAAATGTTCATTAGTGCTACCACCTGCCTTTAAATACTCAAATCAAACCACTAAGTACATATATATATTATATAATTAATGTATATGTATATATAGTTAACTTTCATTAATTTAACTATTCAATCCAATCTTATTACTATATGCAATTACAACCATATGGAAAGAAACTAGATACATTAAACAATGATGATTACAATAAAAAAGCATCATATTTCCAAAATACTTTTGCTTCTTTTAGATATCAAAGAAAGCAGATATGTCAGGGTAGAAAAAATACTTACACGATCATCATCAGATAATCTCTTAGTGATATGAGAGGCACTTCTCCGAGACCTTTGGGGATGGTTTTTGTGTTTAAATAAATAGTAATTTTCAAGTGATCCAATCTGTAAAAAAATTAAAATAAAAATTTACTTTCCCAAACAAGTATATATGGGCTAGTTAAAAACCAACTAACATGGAGACAGCTAACTTTTATTAAGCCCATTCCTGGCTCCTTGAAGTTAGCTTGTTTTTCTTCATGAAGAAGGCCCTGCTAGAGGTTTTGAGATGACCCTCAGGATATTATTACTTAAGTTTACAGTGTACTTGGAGAAGGGTGATTCTTCTGTTTTACACATTTTAACAGAACTGGCTTGGTTATTCTGTATGTGGAAATAATATATAGGTGATGTTTCTCAAGAAAAACCCATTTAGTTGAACATATCCTGCCAGAAAATAATTATTTTTGCAAAGCAAGCTAATCTCTTTAGTACCATCAGGGACCAGTGTCACACCAAGACAAAAAAATGTCATTGTTGGTATGAAATGTAACCATTGAATCTATGGTGATGATTATTATCAGCTGTTTTGATGATCTCTTGATTTTCCAGTAGTTCAAGGCTTTCAAGAAAAAGCATCCCAAATTTGGACAGGTGCTCCATCTTAGGGTGCATATACATCTCTGGGTAGCTGTCAGTGATTTTGGTCCATTTAGAACTATATTCATCATTTTTAAGCTAGTTTCCATTTACACAAAATAGAACTAAATTTAAAGTGACCAAATTTTCTAGATGCCCTGCATTTTTAAAATTAAGAAACAATGGATGATACTTCATTTCAGAAGAAGGGCATTCTTTTAAATTGAGGGTTCTCATCAACCAGAGAAATTTTAAGAGAGATGCTTAGGTTCAGCTCCAAGACTAAACCTTAGGTAATGGATCTGTTATAAGCTGTGTTTGGATTTGGAGAGAGAGATCTGAAGCCATAGGGAAAGATCATGGGTATCCAGCTCTGTTTGTTCTGTCAACTGGTTTTGCTACCTGTCTCTACTTTAATCTTAGTTTTCTCCTGAGGCCATATTTTAGAATAGTAAAGATATCATCACAAATCATATGCAAATATAGGTGCCTCCCACTATTTAAAAATGATTCTTGTGATTAGCCATCCATACTTCCAGGTTCCTATCAAAAATACTGATTTTTTTTTTTTACTTTTTGAATTTATAATTTATTCTCTTGGAAAGTAATTCCCATATTGAATGGTCTAAGTTTTGATGTGTGTTTGAGGCTAACAGGTGAGACAAAGAGAGATTTATTTTTCATTTCCTCTTGCAATTTCCTGCTACATATTTGCCAGTGCTATGTAGCCTTTCAGAAGCTGCCCAATGGACACAGGATTAAATCCTGTTTTTCCTCCCATAGGACACACAAGATTTCTAGGGTGCCCATAGTATGTACCAATACATTTCCATCTGCTACTCACTTTTTTGGACAACCCCCCCCCCCAAATTCCCAACATTTGTGTGCAGTTACCAGACCTAGTGCTAAGCTCTTCGGATCTCCCTGTTTCCCCGCAAGCTGTTTTCTGTGCCTGGAATGCGCTCTACAATCTCATTCTGTTCTCCTGGCAACCTCTGACTCTTCCTCCTAAACCCTGTGCCAATGTTGCTCCTTCCGAGCAGTCTTTCACTTCTTCCAAATTCCCTCTACCTTCTTTCCTTCGGTCAAGAAATATAGTATTGAGACTGCAAGCATAGCTTTTATTACACAAATCGCATTCGTTTGCAATGATTTATTTCTAAGCTAATGTCCTCTAAATTTTGGATTCCTGATGAGCATTTCTTTTCCTCCTTTTATTCCTCAGCCCTTAACACAGAGCCTGGCACCGAGCAAAGGGCTGGGCAAATTAAGCAAGAAGTCAGTCAGCTGCTAGGACGTTGGAAAGTCGATTAAGGTATTGACTTTCCTGCCTGGCATTTCAGAGACAATTTGGCTCACAAAGTTGAAGAATGAAGCCTCCATGGAGAGAAGGCGTATTCCCCAGCGGATTCGATCTATGGAATCGCCAACGCCCACGCTGATTACTCATCCATGACTTCAACTGCGACTCAATCACCACCTCCAGAAAAAAAAAAAAAACCGCGCCAAAATGTTTTACAACTCCCTCCAGCCCCGCTGCGAAGCTGACCAACTTTCAGGGCTAGGGGTGGGGACTGAATCAAGGTAAAGGAAAGCTCTAGATTAGAAGCCCCCCCACCCCCACCCCGGGGTTAGGGCTCAGCCTAACAGGATCCCTCTCCGTGCCTCCCCCCCCTCCAGCTGGCGATTAATCCAGCCCCCACTTGGACAAGCAGCACTTTCCCTTGCAAGCTACAACCCCCAGGGAAACGATTACGCGCTTGAATGAGCCACACAAAAGATACAGACCCTGTCCCCGTAGTGAGTTCGGCCACTGGACCCTGCGGGGGGCTACTGGCCGAGTAAAGTTATGAAGCTTGGGACTTTACAAGTTCCCAGTGAAAACCCGGGGCTACCCGGAAAGGTGCAGAGACCCCCACCCCCTTCACCCACCTCGTCTCCCGCCCCGCTCCCCGGCCACCTCCGAGGCGCGCGTCCCGGCGGCTGGCGCTCTTCCAGCGCTCCGGGCGCGCCCCCACACGCTGCCGGCTAACACCCAAGCCTTCTCGGCCAGGACTTGGGTCTGACGCTGCCATATTGAAAGGACGGAAAGGGCCGACTCCTGACGCAGCCCGCCTGAGTCCGGGGTGGCTGAGCGCACTACCTCTCCCAGGGCGCTCGGCTGGTGAGAGCTCGCGTGCATCTCAAGTTGCCTGAACGAGCGGGGAAGGATTTTTCTCCCAAAATGCGCGGGAACAGATTTCAATGCTGGAGCGGACAACAGCAAGCAGGACCTCTACCCAGCTGCAGCGGCATCCCTCTGCCTGGCTGCGCCCAATCTAAATAGTAAATAATGCAAGCCTTCTCCCCTCCGAAAGCGCGCCCGGGCCAAGAGCTGGAGCGGCTCCTCGCTCCTTGCCACAGCCAGCACAGCAAAGCGCAACCTGAGGCACCCACTTGGGAGACCGCGCTCCGGTCCCACCATCTCCCTCGAGCCCCGAAACTTTCTTGAAAGTGCAAACTCTTACCTGACCCAAAAGGTCATAGCCCAGCTCCTCGGCTATGGCCGAGGCTGCTTCCGGGCCCCCGGGGACCTCCGCCGCCCATTCATTGACAAACTGCCTCTTCGCTTTTACACTGTTCAGCGCACACCAAGAGCAAAAGAGAGCGAAAGCAGCACCCTGCAGACTCCAGGCTCTCCGCTCCATGGCTCTCACACTTAGTCGTACACAAGTGGGAAGGAGCGAGGGAAAAGAAGCAGTATAGGAGAAAAGCCAGCAGCCTCGATCTTCCCCCTCCTTGGGCTCTGAATCACTCCTGGATCCCGGCTGCTCTTGGAAGAGCTGGGAGGCGCGCGAGCAGAGGCCGGGCGGCGAGTGCTCAGTGAAGCGCTTCGGCCTCCCGGCTGAGAGGAGCCCCAGCCCTGCCCAGCCAGAATGGAAATGAGTGTTTACACGTCAAATCGACGAAAGCCATCTCCTGACGTCAGATCTACCTGGACTAAGATCTGGATGGTATTCCCGGCGGGGTGGAGAGGCGGCTAAAATAAGCAGCGAGGGATTAAGAAAAGGAAGAAACCGTTTGCTGGGATCAGTTCATTCTGCTCCCTGTCTGTAGCAGGGAGAAACATCTTCACTTCTCCAAGCGAAGTGCCCCATTTGAATGTAACTGCCAAGAGCCTCAGGCACGCTCCCTCCCTTCCATGTTCTTTATGTTTATTTTATTATCTCGGGTGCATGTTTGTGTTTCGAGTGGGGTGGAAAGTGGGGGTGGGTGGGAGTCTTATACTGATCTTTGGGTATCAGAACCTGCTACAGAAAACAGGCTTGTTAGATCTTTCAAGCCTGACCGGGGGGGGGGGGGGGGCTGGTGAGACAGCTGGCCAAATTCTGCTCCAAATTATCTAAGAAAATGAGCACGTCTCCCAGACACTTTGAAAGCAGTACTTTAAAAAGTGAATCTTTAGCCACTCAAGCCACCTTGGTTTATAAGTTTACTTCCTGGTATCCTGTTTCTCAAGCTCAATAAAACAGTGTCTAAAATTCTACTCCAGACAGTGCAGAGCTGAGCACCACCACCACCGTTACAATACTTAATCAGAAAAAATGAACAATCCCATGATTTCCAAAAGCAGAAAATTGTTTTTGTAATTTACCAACAAGGGGTTCCCGGGTCCCAAGTGCTATTCTATTGACACAGGGAGGGAAAAGGCAGGTTGTATGGACCCTGAGCTTTCCATGTTTCCCACCTTAGAGCTCTTCACTTTGGTGCTGAACTAGGGCTGAGCCACCCCTTCTCTATAAAATGCACAACGTGTCTTTCTGGAAGAATGTTTTCCCTTGGAAAGAGAACAAGCGAACGTCCAAATGTACTCCTCACTCCAACCGAGAGAAATGAGCTCAGGCTAGAAGGGCAGTGTCTAATGTTCAGCACCGAGGTCTGGACAGCGACACGCGCGCCGCCGCGGCAGAAGCCGCCCTTCCTTCTAATCACCAAGATCTCAGCTGCTCGGAAGCTGGCCAGCTCTCAGATGTTTCCCTTTGCACCCGTTCCTTTCCCCTCGTTTGAATATCAAAATAGGAAATTGACCGTCGGAGGTGCGTGGTTAGGTTCACGAGGGCGACCACTTGCATATTGCTCACGGGAACGCATTGGACTAAATACACCCAAGAGTGAAATTTCAGGGAGGAAAACATGAACCAGGGTGTTGCTTGTGAGAAAGAATTTTTTCTTTTTTAAAAACTCCCAACCGCCGGGGGGCGCAATCTGGACTAGAGAAATAGAAGAAGAGGGAGCAGATTGGAAAGAAAGGCTTGAGGACAGTCGGGGGAAAAAGATGCAAGGGACTTGTTTAGAAGAAGCAAATGAGACAGGATTTGGTGGAGGATGAGGCTCACAGGTGCTGATTCTTCACTTGCCTCCGTGTTTGCAGAAATGTGAATTAGACAGATAGTATCTTTCAACATAAAACATGTTTGCAAAAATAAATGGCACATTTAATAAGACACCTGACACGGATAAGTGTTTTGCAGTCATGTTACTCACATATGAGATGTTGTGGAATGGGCCCAAATTGACAGCTCTGTCACCTGCTCTCTAAATCTACATGTGAATGTTGATGGCTGGGTGAGCTGTCTTCTTTTTATTCTTCATGCCTCAGTTTGAGCTGTGGTCTCAAGCTCTCTAGGGTATTTCATTCTAACAGCAGACAGATGCTAATTTTGCACTAGAAAGGCAAGAGGACCCTGTGGCAAATGTTGAATAACGGTAGATACGGCCAGAGCAGGAACGTGTTTGTCCATTTCTTATTATTGTTCCATTAAATCGGCTTGGCAGTGTGTGGGCAATAAGGTCAGAGTCTTATTAATGAAAGATTTGTCTTAAATGGAACAAGGTACAAGTCTGGAGTAAACAGTCATCTAATAACAAGACAAGTGAAATTCTCACAGACAGAAGACAGCATCCCTATCCACACAATAAATATTCACACCGTATTTGAAAACTGTATCATTTTTACCCAATAGATCTTATTTGACACAACTTCTGAGTTGCAGAGGAAATGAATTTTGCCCAGGTTAGGAGTATAAACATATTTAGAACCCATCCTAACTTTTTTCACGTCACTGGCTAGTTCTATCCTCCTTTGTGGATTCAGGCCCATTGTGGTTGTTAAACTTGACTGTCAACATGGTTGCCTTGGGAGCCACCCAGGAGATCAGTAAAGCACACTCTGGGAGTGTCTGGCGGGCCCATGGAGCTTGTTCTTGGGAAATATCTGGCCCCTCACCCCTTCCTCTCTGGCAGTGTTGCCTTGTTCTGCTTTCTGCCCCCCATGAACTAAGCATCTTTGTTCCTTCATGCCCTTCTGCCATGATGTTTTTTCCTTGGAGTCAGCCAACCACAGACAGGACTGAATTCCCTGAAGTCACAAGCCAAATCAAACCTCTCATCCTTTAAATTTTGGGTGTCCAGTATTGTGTCCCAGGGATAGAAAAGCTGATTAATATACCTATCCGCATATTTTACATCATGAATTAGAAAAGCAAATGATCATCTATAAGTTGGTTTTAATAGCATTTCTCTGACCTAATTAATTTATATAGAATACAAGATAATCCAGAAACTAAACAGGACTGTGTCTCTATTATGAATTATTAAATGAATGTCAGGCCTTTCATGACTGCTCCCCACTGCCTAGCAATGAAGTTAATCATTTATTGATTTTCTTGTGGAGTAATAAGAGCAATGGTAGTATAAGCAAGATATAAGCATATGTTCCTAGAGATTGCTGCATCTCTTTAGCCTAAGAAAAAGTTTGTGATACTAAGGATTGAACTCAGGGCCTTATATGTGCTAGGCAAGCATGCTACCACTGAGGTAAATTCCCAGCCCTAAAAACCCCCAAATTTTAAATCTTTTGTTACTGTTAAATAAAATATGTACCTGCATGAACAACAAACAATGTACTTAATGACTTACTACAAAATGCATATGTAAACATTCAGGTCAAGACAAAAAGATTTCTAGCCCTACATAATAATATTTCTAGATTTTAAGTGGCATTAAGAGGGGTGAGAGCTAGGCATGGTGGCATGCTCCTGAAGTCCCAGCTACTTGGAGGCTGAAGCAAGAAGATCCCTTGAGCCCAAGAATTTGAGGCCAGTGTGAAGAACAGGATGAGACTACCTAAAAAGAAAAGTGCACTTTTAGATCAGAATGTTGAGTGAAATAAATCAGATACACAAACTTAAATATAGCATGGTTTATCTTATATGAGAAACCCAAAGTATAAATAAATTAATGAGAAAAGTAAAAAATAATAAGAGACAGGGAGACAGATCTTTCACAAATGGGAAAGACACGAAGAGATGGAGGGAGCACAGATTTGGGGTACATGATGGTGATGTAATAGGAATTAAGATGTATCTATACCAACTACCCATGAAGGATGTAATCATTATGTACTACAAACATGTACTAATAAAAATTAAAATGTATAACTTCCTTTTAACATTTTCCAGTTATCATGTTGCTTTTTACCAGTTTGGTTTGCTGTGGGTAATAGCAACTACACATTAAGACAAATGTGTAATCAATTAGTCTGTAATTAAACTAAAGATATTTTGTAAAAAAAACATATAATAAAGGAAAAACTACCTATACTAGTGTTTCCCAACATAGAAAAATCAATATTTGTATGCCACACTGAGATAAATTTGAGGACTTAGTGTATGGGACCTAGTAAAACCATTTTCTTTTTATAAGATACAATTATGATATCAAAGTAAACTACAGCATTTTGGACAATATATTAAAAGTGAATGTACAGAACTTCAAATTGAGAAATACAAATATGCTTCTATAATAGAACTCTTTATCTTGGGTTTTATGCTTGAAAGCCTATGTACAATTTCTGATCAAAACATTTTAATAAAAATTATCCTTTCAAATTTTTGATATCTACTGTCAATAAATTATTTCACACAAATAGAAAATAAAATTGTTACACTACTATATAACCACTTAACAATTTACATTTGACTATTTGATTTTAAATAATAAAAAGGACTTTCTGTTATTTCCTTGACAAATAAACCATTGTAATTTATGAGAATGCCTCTAGATTTCAAATTCTTCTAAATTTTACATGTCAAGCATTGCAAATAATATTAATATTCTAAGTTAGGAAATACACATGCCCTGTAGAGAAGTTACCATGCACCAACTTTACCACAAGTGAACAAAAATATTTAGTATATGGGGAGACTGATCTGGGGAGACCATGAAAATATATACTTTTCAGGAGTGCCTGACTTGCTTTATCTTTATTTCTCCTCCCATGACCAAATTTTGTCATGCATGCTGTAGAAGTTTGCACTTTCATGCAATGGACAAGGCCTGGTTGCAACAGCTTGCTTAAGTAGATATCACTGTGGCAGACATTCTTCTTGGTTGAGTTCCAGCAGCTCAGCAGCAACCTGTTTGCCTGAACTTCTCTGGAGATGAGAAGATGAAATATCTTGAGGGACATCTTTAACTTCTCCAGTGACAAAGCTCTGACCTATGGAGAATAATGCAGCAAAGTCTGTACGCTGAAAGGCTCTGAGGTGGATACATAATTATGGGGATTTTTTGCTGAATAAACTAGACAAACTCTTAAAATCTTGAATTCAGTATAGAAATGAATTAAAGAAATTAGTCCTATTAATTCCAATGGTTGAAAAGTATGGTTTTTCCCTAATGAAATGGATAATGAGATCTTGTTACATATCAGTTCTTAATAACAACTTTTTAAAGAACAGATTCTTTAAAAGTATGCATTTAATTGAGCAAACTGTAGAGTATGTCTGCTTATACTTTCAGGCAATGCTCCTCTTCCCCTATGCTCTCAAACTCTGCCCTCTTCACATAGAAGACCTCATATATAATTTTTTTCTTTGCTCTTGAAGTATATTTTCTATGAGAATTATAAACTCTCAATATTGAAAAATGAATGTTAGCTAATTTCCTGCT